GCGATCCGACCTATCCTTTACACTCTCTTTATGCGATAGGCGCTCCGATGACGATGACGACGATGATGAAGGTCCATTTAGCCCTTTCTGAATCATCCTCGCTCTCAATTGCCCCATTCTTCATTGGCCACTATTAACGTTTTACGCAAACATTAGCATTGTCGACCTGTTTGTTCGGTATCTCATCGCCCTGATGGACAAATCAATACATTAGAGAAAAGTAAGGGCGTTACATCGTATGTCAGGCTAGATGGATGATGCCTTTCTGTCATGGATGACAGGAACGAAGAAAGAAGAAAGGTGAGTTAGAGTCCATCGTCCTCGTCCCCCTGCGGATGATTTTCAAGCAACTACGATGATAGTGATGATGATTATTCTCAATCGCCCATGCTCACCTACTTTTCCATTCTCCGTCAGCCTTTTTGAAAGTAAAAGAAATACAAACTATGAGTCGACTTGCTTGTTTGCTGTTCGCCATGCATGCGCTGGGTGAGTGCTCTTCTCTTCCTCTTTGTTATGCTCCCATGCTCTCTCTTCTTTCCCTCTCTCACTCTCCTCTTGTAGACTATCCCTTTCTTTCTTGCCGCTTTATGCGGCCAAACAAGGACAGCTACTAACAACAAACAAACAAGTGGAAAAATATACAAAACAGGTGGACAACCTTGCAACGTGGCCCTGTCTGCCACATTTCTTTGCATATCCCATCTGTCCTTCCATATCAACGCCCTACTTTTGTATGCCTACAAAATAATGCAAATTGCTTATGCACTCTCAATCGCCCACGCCATCGATAATCGGACATATCTCCGTCCCATATCTTCCCAATCGCTTTGTACACCTGCTTCCCTTTGATCCCTGCCAATACCCGTCTGCGAGGCTGCTTCCCTCATTTGAACCATTACGATGATCGTCCCTCATTCCCATCCGTCCATCCCATCTCTCCCTTCTTTTCCACCACGTTTCCTCCTCTCTCCTCACACACCCCCTGCTGATCTATACACCAAGTAGACCGTGGACGTGTGGGAGAATGCGAGAGGAGGATGGAGGACCATGGACAGTGTGCTTGAGCGAGGAAAGGAAAAATCATGTAAGGGACCTGTTTGTCTGTGTCATTTCGCATCGTTTCGTTACTTTCCATCCCTCTCTCGCCTCAATTGTCTCCCTAATCGTCCCATCCTCCATGGGCTATATGGATACTTCAAGCCAAAAAAAAAATGGGCAATTGAATCGGGAGATAAAAGTACTGTACGCAACCTGACAATGCAATTATTATGGTGCCGCAAGCATAATTGTGCTCACTATGCTAAAAGTCTCATAGTGGTGCAACTCATTTTTTTTCCTTGTTTGATTCAATATCCAGTTTGTGCACTAATCTACCCTTCTTTGCCATGCCTCAACTATTTCACACAAACCAATATCCTCATTGCCACGTTCGTTTTTTTTTTCTCACACGCCAGACCTGACAAAGAATCAGGTTCTTAGTATCTGTTTAGTTCTGTGCTGCGTCTTTTCTCGGCTCTTTCTTTGGAGCGCATCCCGGGATAGTTCTCTCTAATATCCTAATTCCCCAGGTCCAGTAGCCAGATAGTATCATAAAACGCGAAGGGAAGTTTCTCTTTTCTGATACAGATGTACCTTTATTCGCTGTTTCGTCCTTCCATCCATCCTTCCTTCGCCTAATTGTCTTTCATCGCGTTCTTCAGTACCGCGAAGAAGTCGACCAGAAAATACGCCTCCATTCCATTTTCAAATGAAGGTCGGATTGATCAAGCGAGTAAAAAAAAGGATCGAGCTCTCCTTTCTCTCTCTCTCCTTCTCGTTCAAGCAAAGCAGATTCTCTCTCACCTGTCTTCCTTCATGTTGTTTGCATTGTTGATTTTTTTTTTTTTTTTTGGGTTCCCCATTGTTTTCAACCCACCCCCTGTTTTTCCTTCGCTACTTTTGTTTTGCTCTTGGGCCACAATCACACTCTTCTTTTCTTTTCCTTTCCTTTTTGCGCCCTGATTTCGCGCTTGGATTCATAGGAAGCAAAAAGTGTCAACAGGTAAGACCTTTCGTTCTCATATGAACGCGCACGCACTCCTTTACCCCTCCCCCCCTTTCTTTTTCTTCCTACGACTTTTGGTTTTGTCTTTTTTGTAAAGCGAGAAGAGGTGTGTGCGCTTTTCTTCTCTTTTCATGTTTCTCATTCCATCATGCCCAAAATCCCTTTCTTTCTTCCTTACTTTTTTTTTTTCTTTCCATCTCGCGTTTCCCGACAGCAAGCTTTGTGTTTTTCTCGTTTGGCTTTCTGTATAATGCAAACTGGAGGCAGGGAAGGGGAAGGTACTGCGAGAGTTGTCAGCCAAATAGGCAGGGTTTCCCATTGTGCAACGATAAACAAACAAACACAAACAAACACAAACAAACCCTCCATCAAGCAGAATGGGAGGAAGGAGCGGACTTTTCGTTGATGTAGGTACTGTCAATGCAAGGGAAAATAGGGAGGACAAGATTGCACAGGGATGGATTGGGGGGGGGGGGGGAGCTGGTAAGGCAAAGGTAGAAAGGGAGGGAGTGGGACAGACTGGGAGAGCAGGGAGCAAAGCATAGGGGGTGCAAAAAAAATATCAATTGAAGTGATCCCAATTCAAGTCTACCGTATTCACAAATCGATATACGAAGCGTGGATTGAAAATTCAGCAAAGAGTACCCTCCTTTCCTTCGAAACTTTCCTCGTCCTGTATGGAGTTCGGCGGTGGACATGAGGAGAAAGGGGGGGGGGGGGAGGGAGGAGGGCCAAGGATTGAGGAACCGACCGGTTTTTGCTCAATACCCTTCTTTTCCTTCAAATGATAAAAAGAATGGCATTTGAAATGAAAAAAGCGTGGCAAAAATAGCTCTTCCTTCCTTGCTCACTTCTCTTCCCGATCATGAGCTGGACGAGGGACGGGATGGTTCGTCTGGAGCCTAAATCAGAAGAAAGAAAAAAATATGACAAATGAAAAAATGAATGGCTGGTAAATTGGGGTTAGACAGGTGAAAAGGAAAAGGGGGACTGCATGGGTGGGTCAAATTCCCCGCGGGCAGTAAGAGGAACCATAACCATAAACATGCACCATATACGCAACATGAGGCGAGGAATTGAACAGCCGGAAGGGTAGGAAACTAGCTTTTTTTTTTTTTTTTAGTTCTTCATATAATCTGAGCACTTTTGGCTGGTTCGCCCATGGCGTTTTAATATAACTTTGAAAATTGGTAGGACCCCGATGGATGGATGAAAATTGAGCCAACAGGCAAATGGATGGGACCATTGAGAGGTGGATAAAAAGGTCCAAGGTCTAGGGTGCATGGTGACGACAAGAGAGGGAGGAGGATTTGTTTTTAGACTAGATGGTAATACCTTGATCCGGCCATTGTCCTACTCCCTCAATTGCCCTCTCCTCCATGCAATGCAATTGGAGCATCTCCATCCATTTAATACCATGCTGCATGTAAGAGGAGGAAGAGGAAGTAAGGAAGCCATTATTTCCGTCGTCATCATCATCATCATCCCACCTTCCCCCTCCCTCCCATATGAAAGGGCTGCGAACAAAAAAAATTAGAGCATCGGGAAGCAAGAAGGATAAAAAATGGAGTGAGAGCTTTTCTGTATTTTCGGCAGTAAGGGAAGAGAGATGACTGAGGCGAAACAAGAGGCAAGGCCAATTCATCCACCATCCGACACCCCATGGACAGGAATGGCTATTTCTAGATTTCTCATTTGCTGAGTCAAGGGTGAGTGAAAAAAATGAGCATTGGCTTGCCTGGTCTATTTCTTACACACTATTCATTCTTCTGACCGCCTGCAACGTCAGTGCCTTGTTGTTTATCGCTCGTCCTTATACCCGTGTCCATGACCATGAGCACGCCAATATCGCCATGTGGATCCCATCACAGCTCATATTTCCTGTTTCCTCCCGGGTAGATAAACAATAACATCATCCTTCTCTCTCACCTACCCATGTTCCCGCCTCTGCCCCTGTCCTTGTGCTTGTGTTTGTGCTTGTAAACACCCTGTTTTTCGGCGCTGACTACCTTCCATGGGCTCAAAGAAGATACTCACTTAATTCCACCTCCCTCTACTCCTTGACGATCGACTACACCTTCCTCCTCGATCCTTGGTTTTTTTTTGTTTTCCGTGCACGAGCCTTATTGGGAATTTCCTATGTCTCTCCTTCACGTCTTGGTTACACACGAAACAACAACAACAATAACAAACGCATACATGTGTCTGAAAAACAACAAACCCATGGAACAAACGGACGGACAGGCGGAAACGGAAAAAGTTGTTCATTGGCATATGACAGTGGGCACATTCACCGTCCCATTCCTGCCCTATTTCATCCCATTCCGCCTGTTCCTGCGGGTGGGCATAAACGCCGAAATGGATAATGTCAAATCAATAGTAAACAAATGCAAAACAAATGTACAAACGCAAAACGCAAACAGGAGCCGGCGTAGGCGGCGAGTTGATATAAGGATAAATGAAATCTTTGGGCATGTGGGTAGAGTTGGGAGGTGAGAAGAGGTGAGAGCACACTAGAGTATTGCGCTGAGGTTAGGGATTAGGGAACATTGTTTATTGCAACCCTGTTTTTTTTATTGTTGTCGCTGTCGCCTTGACTATGGTTTGTTTTTGTTCCCTAGAGTTGACTTATTATTTTTGGTGGCACACCTTCGACAGCATCACACTCCCTCATTCTCGCTCACTTGATGTAACACCATTTTGTGCCCTTGTATGTAGCATGCAGTCTTGAGTTCCCTCTCTCCTTGATATCCATCCTCTCTGATTCTGTTGCTTCTTGAATATCCTCAGGCACAATCTGCCAAAAGGAGCGACATTTTTTTTAGGTGAAACAGACACATTCATCAGTCCACTCCGTTATTCTATCATCATCAATTCAGGGACACTTTTTTTTTTTCTTTCTGATATCCGTGGCCGTTTATTTCTTTTTCATATCCCCACACTTCACAGACTCCTATCTCCAGCATTGCTCACCACCGCTCTGCTTACAAGCCGTAAGAAAAGAGTTGTACGCTCTCTGGCTATCAAGACCACAGCTACCACCGTCCCAGTTGGCGGCGGTGAACTTGCACAGGATCTCGGTCTTGGTCTTGTCGTTGCCGCAAATACACCAGGTTGGGAACTTGACTGCCTCGGCTTGCGCGTTGATGCTACTGCTCAAGAAGATTTGGAGGACGACGAGGGTCATGAGGAGGAGAGATACTAGTTTAAGGGACATTATTTTGTTCTATGGATCGAAGGAGAAGTTGGACGGGGAAGAGAGGATGGTGGTATCGGTGTTAAAAACTTGTTCTTACTGTGGCAGTGAGGACTACGAAAGAGATTGAGAAGGAAAATGTTGAGCTTGATACCTTTTTGGCGATTTTGTGTGATGAATGTTGTAAGAAAAAAAAGAAAAAATCGATGGGAAAATGACTCTTATATACAACACGTCAATGCTTGTCGACGATTAAGGTAAGGACAGGGGAAATGGCGCCTGTCTGGTGGGGGTAGGAAAGTAGAAACACTCGTTTGCCAGCGGCAGCAAACATTTTGAACAACCGCAAGAGGAACCGTGTTTTTTTTTGACGCCACCTCCGTTGGACGATATATGTTAGCAGATGGGGCTGAGATCGTGTGAGCTGAAAAGAAGAAAATATCGATTCGATCAAGTCGGGAGTCGGATCGCGGAACAATCTCGTTCTTGAGTTGCCATCTCAATTGGACGCAAGGACATACTAATAGAACAAGTCATGACGACCAGGACAAGAGCATCAAGGACAAGAACTGAAGCACAAGTTCGTCGCACCTTGGTCCTTGAGTTGTGTAGCCATTATTGTGACTGCCATTCACCAAAAAAAACGTTGCCACCAATTTCCACATTCGTATGATCATCGTTCACTCCACTTTTCTTTGTGTGTGTAAAACGCATGCAGGTTGCGCAGACGGTATACGATGTGAATTCATACTTCATTCTTCAACAACACACGCAAAAAAAGGACTATCTACACATGCAAAATAAAACTGTAATCTGCAAAAAAGAAAGACACGGAACATGTCATGGACGAATAAAAGAAAGGCACGAAAAAGTGTCTCCTCCTCTGACTTTAGTTCTTCTTGGGTGGCTCGTTGTCGACAGTGGGTCCATCCGATCCAGAAGCACCATCTCCACCACTACCACCGCTGGCTGCGTTCTTCTTGTAAACCATCTCAAACAACTTCAGGCTGCCTTGCTGCAATTCCGACACGTCCTTCTTGATCTCCTCCGCCTCAACGTTGTCGCCCTTGGCCAAGACCTCCTTCAGCTTGGTGATCTGCTCCTTGATCTTGTCGGCCTCGGACGCATCCAGCTGACCCTTGAACTCCTCCATGTTCTTCTCCGTCTCGGAAATCACAGACTCGGCATGGTTAGTTGCCTCGATCTGCTCCTTCTTCTTGCGGTCCGACTCGGCAAACTTCTCAGAGTCCCGGATCATATTCTCAATCTCGTCCTTGGACAGTCCCGAGGAGGCCACAATCGACATGGACTGATCCCGTCCGGTCGCCTTGTCCTTGGCTCCGACATTGACAATACCGTCGGCATCAATATCGAACGAGACCTCGATCTGGGGAACTCCCTTGGGTGCTGGTGGCAGGCCGTGGAGGTTAAAGTCGCCCAGAAGCTTGTTGTCCCTGACCAGCTCACGCTCACCCTGGAACACCTTGATCTGGACCTGCGTCTGTCCGTCGGCTGCCGTCGAGAAGACCTGAGATTTCTTAGTGGGGATGGTGGTGTTTCGGTTGATAAGACGAGTAAAGACTCCTCCGAGGGTCTCAATTCCGAGCGACAGTGGGGTCACATCCAACAGCAAGATATCCGTGACAGATCCAGCCAAAACTCCTCCTTGGATAGCAGCACCAATAGCAACGGCCTCATCGGGGTTGACACTCTTGCCGGGGTCACGTCCAAAGACCTGCTTGACGGTCTCAATAACCTTGGGGACACGGGACATGCCTCCGACCAGCACAACATCGTCAATATCCCCCAACGACACACCGGCATCCTTAATGGCCTTCTCACATGGCGGGACCGTACGACGGATCAACTCTGCGACCAGCTCCTCCAACTTGGAACGCGTCAGCTTGAAGTTGATATGCTTGGGTCCTGTCGCATCGGCGGTAATATAGGGAAGGTTGATATCGGTCTGAACAGTACTCGACAGCTCAATCTTGGCCTTCTCGACACCCTCACGGATACGCTGGATGGCCATACGGTCGTTCGAGAGATCGATACCTTGATCCTTCTTGAACTCGTCCATGACATACTTGACCAAGAGGGCATCGAAATCCTCACCTCCCAAGGCAGTATCTCCGTTGGTCGACTTGACCTCAAACACGCCGTTTTGGATCTCCAGAATCGAGATATCAAAGGTTCCTCCACCGAGATCATAGACAGCAACAGTCTTGTCCTTGGTCTTGTCCAATCCAAAGGCCAATGCAGCTGCTGTGGGTTCGTTGATGACACGCAAGACATCCAGACCGGCAATAGTTCCTGCATCCTTGGTCGCCTGTCGCTGGGCGTCGTTGAAGTAGGCAGGGACGGTGATGACGGCGTGCTTGACCTTTTTACCAAGGTAGCCATCGGCAGTGTCCTTCATCTTTCCGAGAACAAAGGCACTGATTTGGGAGGGGGAGTACCTCTTGCCACGAGCCTCAACCCAGGCATCACCGTTGTCGGCCTTTACAATCTTGTAGGAGACGGTCTTGATGTCGTGCTGGACTGCAGGGTCCGAAAACTTACGTCCGATGAGACGTTTGGTTGCGTAGATTGTGTTTTCGGGGTTGACGACAGCCTGGCGCTTAGCGGCCTGGCCGACGACCATTTCACCCTCCTTTGTGAAGGCGACGACGGAGGGGGTTGTGCGGGCACCCTCTGCGTTTTCGATGACGCGTGGGACTTTGCCCTCCATGACACTGACGCAGGAGTTGGTTGTTCCTAAGTCAATTCCGATGACAGGACCCTGGATGGCTGCAGAGTATGCGCGCCGTTGCTACATTACGTTGGATGTATGATACGATGATGATGATGGGTGAGAGAGAAAAGTTGTTACTGGTTCCGTTGCTGGTTCTTGACACAATGCGAATAGTATCAGAGGGAGAAGGGAGGGAAAAGCAGTCCCGAAAAGGAAAAAAAAAGTGCTTTCGCATGAGGCGCAAATGGATGGGTGTATCTGGGGCAGGGAATAGGAGAGGGAAGGGCGAGGAAGGAAGACACAAAGGATGGGGTGAATGTAAACACAGGGAAAACAGGGAAAACAAGGAGCAAATACAACAAAAACATAACGCAGTGAGTGCTTTCAAGTGCGAATAAGGCAACAAAAACGCGTTGACTGTCAAGTATCTGCCACTTTGACTCCCCGCTGTTCTTTTGCAAGCTGCTTTGTCCAGCGCCCAGAGTGGAGATGGAAAATAAAAGGTTCAAGCAAGGTTCACGACATGAATCTCTGCTGATTCCAAGGGTTGAGACTTGCTTCCATGGGTCTGATTCCTGCCGAGAAATGAGAAAGGGCTGTCTGCTGATTCATTGTTGTGAAGAAAAGGACGCCAGAAGTATTAGCAGTGTAGAGTGCTTACCAGAGCAGGGTTGCGGGTTGCGGCGAGCCAGCCACTCTTTGTGAGCGAGGCGAATCGGTACATGATTGCGGAGATGTCGCTTTAGCTATTCGTCGTAGTTGTAGGTGGCGATAGGACCTAGTGTTGTATTCGAAAGACAGGTGGTGTGTATATGCTAACGGAGGGGTGGTGTTGAGAGGTCTAGTGAGAAAGGGCGTGTGAGAGTTGTTTGTCAGAAGCGGGGAGGAAGGAAGGAAAAAGGTGTGGAGAAAAGAAAAGGAAAGAAAAAAAAAGAAATTGCGAGAAAAATCAATCCTGCGTGAGATTTCTCTCAGCTGCACGTACACGCAGACGCACCACTCATACACAGATCTCGCCAATAAACACCCAAGCCATGAAATCGTCGTATCCTTCACCCCCTTTTACGCGAAACAACCCCAGCTCTTTACACCTGCAATTCAACAACGGGTAAAACAAAGCCGTACGGATCAATACCAAGCTCCTGGTTGTTATCGCCTTGCTCGTTTTATTTACATTGCTTGAACTCAACTGTCCGCTTCAAAAAAAGAAGCGATAGCAGAAGGTAGGAAAAACACGAAGGGGTGTGTGCTCGTTCAAGGCTCAGTCGGGGATGTGGCAAGGTTACCGCTGAGGATCTCATACCCAGTCTCAGTCACCAACACTACATCCTCCAAACGAATACCATGCCTACATGAACAAGAGCAAAACAAACATACATTAGATCGAGTTAGCAACAATGTCATTGTGCCCGCATTCTTCACCCTGACCCTTACTTCAATAACAGCAGTAAAAGAAGCAAAAACTTACGATCCTTCGATGTAGATACCAGGCTCGTTGGTAAAGACCATACCAGGTTTGAGCGCAGTATCAGTGTTTCCAATATTCAAATAAGGCTCTTCATGTCCCTCCATGCCCAACCCATGACCCAATCGATGTGTAAACCAGGCTCCATACCCTTGCCCAGAAATATACCCACGAGCAGCCTTATCAATCGAACTGCATGCAGCACCAGGCTTGACGGCCTCCAAGGCAGCAATCTGAGCACTCTTGACCGTCTCCCAGACCTTGTCCAGCTCCTCGTTCATCTCCTTGGAGTTTCCACGACGGATCCAGAAGGTGCGCGTAATGTCGGAAAGGTACCCGTGCAGACGAGCACCACTGTCGATCAAGACCATCATACCCTTCTCCAGTCTAGTATCGTTACCGCTACCATGGGGCAGGGCGGCATCTTTACCAAAGAGGACCAAACTGCCACCATCCTCATAGCCCAACCCAGACTCCTTGTAGGCTTGGGTCATCATAGCCTGTACTTCAGACTCACGGACACCGACACGGATCTGGCCCTTGACGGCACGGATGACATTGACGGTGGTCTGGGAGACGCAGCGGAGGATTTCGATCTCGTGGGCGGATTTCTGCATGCGGAGGAGTTGGATGTTGTGGTTGGCAATCTCGACCTTGCGTTCAGAGTTGTCAAGGGCGTTGGCGAGACCTGTGGCGACAAACTGGCGCATGTCGGGGTCAATGTAGATGTGTTCAATCTCCTTGGGCTTCTTGTGGCGGACTTCTTCATCATCATCCTCCTCGCCTTCGACAGGCTCGGTACCTGCCCAGGGGGTCTCGATGATCTCGCGGACGACCTTGTAGGCGGATGCACCTTCCTCCCAGGTCTTGATTGCATAGCTTGTGCCAGGGAGGAACTTTTGTCTGGCCCTCGATGCCTCGAATGCGGGGGCGACAATCGTTGTCTTTGTCAGCACTATAGTAGTCGGTATCCATCACCATCATCAAGACGTCAACAGAGAGAGAAAGAGAGATACAACCGTTAGCTCCTTTTGTCCCCGTTCTACTGCACGGTGCTAATGAGTGCCTTACATCACAAATCAATGCACGCCAACAGTCACGCCACCACGACAAATCTTTTTCACTCACCAGTGCCAGTCTTGTCCTTCTTGGCTTGGACAACAAGTAAGAAGGGTCTCTCAGATTGGGACCACTTGATATCGGTAAAGTACTGCATATTGATACCCGGCTCAGCAATATACGCCCCCGCCTTGAGATCCACAAGCAGCCTCGACAGGTTGGTCTGACGCTCCTCAAACTCGACCGGGCTAATCGGCGCCACATGGTCGCACGATCCCTTCAAGTGGGCGTAGGGTGACCCACCTATGTGTCTAATAGATCCATGATCGATGTAAAACAAGGAGCAATAGGTCAGCACCTGCGTTCTTTCTCTCATAGACACCGCACTCCTCTATAACTAGAATACAGAACAAAAACGACAAGAAGAAAGAGAAAAAGAAAGAAAAAGGGCTTACCTAAAGAAGTACTCAAAGAGACACACGGACAAGAACCCCAAAATCGCAAACAAGATCGCAAACATCCCCACCCGCCAGCATTTGCGGATCTTGTCTCGTCTTAGCGCATGTTCTGCCGCATCACTTCGTCGTCGTCCTCCCATACCCAACGTCGAAGGGATATGGGATCTGTGGGATCCATGGCCGTTGGTGTTGTAGGGTGAGGCTCCGCTGGGGTTGCTGTTGAGGAGGGGTTGGCGTTCCAGGTCGGGTGTGTCGGGTAAAGGCACGTTGCTGGCATTGTTGACGTTTGCCGCCATCTTTAGATGTTTTGTTTGGAGTTACTTGTTGTTGTTGTTGACTTGGTATTCCTGGGCGTGAGTGCTGAGTTGTCCTGAGTGAGTCGATAATGTGTAATGGGAAGAAGGAAAAGAGTGAAAAGGTGAAAACCCGAGTGCGGTCTTTTTATTGTCTCTCGCTGGTCGCATTTCGCACGACACTAAATCAGGAAAGTCCCTTCCCACCCACACACATGCATACAAAGTTACAAACACAACAATAAGCCTTATCCTCACCATTGCAACAGACGGTGAGGAAAAAAAAATGAGCAAGGGATATGATACAACAGCCAGTACGGAGAATGGACTCCTTTTGAGGAAGTCATCTTCATTCTCCTCCTCTACCTTACACGCTGCCACCGTCTTCGTTCCACAACTCACCGTCCTTGGTTCACACACACAAAAATATCAAAAACTTGATTCTCTTCCTTTCCAAGAAGCGACTGCTATCCTATCCCTCACACGCATGAACATAATTGTCAATACTCGTTCAAGCCGCATCCTTTTTATGTAGACCCTTCCCAACGGACAGAAAACAACTAACTAAACCAAAACCTTACGATAAAACCATTGGAAAAAACAAGACCTTTTTTTACTCACATTCTCAGTTCACTTCTGACGCACAAAGAAAAAAACACTTCGCGTACCCAAATGCCCCCGAAACCCGTTTTTCCTTTTCCTTCATGAGAGACACACCTTTTTTGTTTTCGTCTCAACGCGCGCGTTTCGTGCAGGATTGATTATTTATATGTTTTGAAAGAGAAGCGACTAGGAATAAGTAAGGCGACGAAGAAAAACAATAGTAAAAACAAATTGGGTCACAAAGGGAAACGGAAACGAACACGGTTTCGGTCGGTGTAAGGGGCAGAACGGCGAGGGAGGAAGAGGCGTCAAGGAGGGTGAAGACAAGGGAAAGGGGGAAAAAGAACGCGAGGTCAAGATTAAGAAGGAGGAATAATATTCTATTGGAATAGGCGTGTTAAGGAAGTGTCATAGAGAGAAAGGGAGGGTATTCCTTAATATGTAGTTGTTGTCTGGCTGTCTGTCTTTTTTACACCTCGAACCGAGCGACCTTGCGTCTACCACCATCGACATTCACATAACTCTCCGTGCTCTCATACAGCTCCTCGTAAGTATAATCGCGTTTAAAGTTGCGCGTCAGGATACCCGTCCGAACAAAGAACCAGAAGAAGGCGACCAGGTAGGCCAACCCAAAGAAGCACAACGAATAGATCACGAACGCGTCCGAGAAGATGGGAGGGGATTGACCTTCGGCTAGGGGTGCGTGTTGGGTGTACCGGCTTGGATTGTGGAAGACACCAAAGAAGAGAATCGAGCCCCAGGTCACTGGCGCGATGTAGTTCTGCAACTGCGTAAAGTTACGAATCAAACGCGCGCTAGAGTAATCGAGAAATCAAAAGAAAAGAGGTTAGCAAATGCGAGGCGCGAATAACAAGACTGGGATATCACAGTTCGCACAAAGAAAGGCGAAGAACGTACCTAGTACCCCAGGAGTTGTCATAGAGGGTGAGGGCGGCAAAGATCTTGGCAGGGACGTAGCCGAGCATATACAGGAACCCATAGACGGTCGTAAAGAAGAACTTCTTGTCACCTGTGACACGAACAGCATACGCCGTTTTCAACATGCCCACAAACACGATCGAGACCAACCACCACGAGATTTGGGATCCAGTACCGAAATAAATACAGTTGACCAGGTTATAGATCATCATCATGGGGTACACCAGCTGGTACAACAGCGCATAGGTCATCCAGGGCGAGTGAAGGTGTATGCAACCGAGTTGGATAGGGATCTCGCGGAAGAACGATTTGGACCAGCGTGTCTGTTGGGTGACCCAGGCAATGAATCGGATCGGCGTGTCGGTGTGACAGATGGCATAGTGCGAGAATTTGACCTTGAACCCTTCGCGAAGGACCAGGTTGGTCAAGTGGCGGTCGTCTCCATAGGTGCAGAGGACGCCCAGGAACGATTGCCTTACCCAGCTGTCCATCACTTCAGAGACGATCGACATGCGGTAGATACCGAGGGGTCCCGAGACACAGTTGACGACAGAGTGGTACGATTGTGCACCACGCTCGAGGTTGAAGGCGAACCAGTAGCGGAGGGAGGACAGGAAACTGACCCAGGTGCCGGTGTTGTAGATACGGACATCTCCGGTGGCAGCTCCAACAATAGGCGACTCGGCCAATGCAAACGCCAGTTCTATAGAGAAAGGGAGGCGGGATCACCATTTAAGTTAGTCAGCACAAGTCAACAACGAGTATTAGCATTTGTCCTACCCAGGACCAACCAAGATTGGCATTGAGCATTGGATATTGTACACTTCACAAAAATATAAACGCGTAGAAAAGAAAATTCACCTCTGCAGACGTGGGGGTCCAAGTACGTGTCAGAATCGGTGACCACCACAGATTCAATGCCCTGCTGGAGCAAGACCGCAAACCCAGTATACATAGCCGACCGCTTTCCGCGGTGGGGCTGCATCACACAGACGGGGCCAGGGTGGTACGAAACCTGACGAACCAAGTCTTGTCGGTCCCTGTCGCTTGCCTGTCGATCCATGGTCAAAAAGTCGGGTCGGAAGATGGCCGCCCCTTGATCCTCAAAGACCTTTATAAAGATCTGAGCCATGTACTCGTCCTGCGCCTCATTACCATCAACCACCAACATAACCCGCTGGTTACGCTGGTACCGTACCGCCTTCAAACTCTTCAGACAGCCCTCCAGTAGGACAGGATCCTCACGGTAGCCCACTGCAAGGATGCCCGTCGACACTCCGACCCAGTGTGGGTCACGCTTCTTGACCCGGTTGTTGACCTTGCGCCTGTTAAGGGCCGAAAAACTAATGACCGCCATAAAGTCAAGCGCCATCAGCATACCGTACGTGACCGACGTCTGCCAGGCACCCGCAGAGACCTGGATGTGGAAGCATGCCTTGAGGACAATGTAGGGCAACAAGAAGATCCCCATCGTGAATGCGATCCATAGTCCCTTTTTCCAGATCGAGACATGCGACGACTTTAGGCCAAAGCTCATTGCGACCTCGGATGATGTTGTTGAAGCGGGGACTAGGAGTGAAGAGGAGATGGAGGTGGTGGTGGGTGCTGTTGCTCCGGTCGCTGAGAAGGTGCCGGGTCCTATTTCATTGGGCGAATGGCCGGGGAAGGAAGGTGACCGAGCATGATGGCCAGTTTCCTTGATGTCCACGGTGGTGAGGTTCACAGGATCCTTTGAATTTTTCGTGGGCATTTTCCCATCCACGCCTTGCACTACTTCCACATCTGGGGGTTGGGGTGGCATTTAAGGAGGGTGTGAAGGGAGGGATCGTCGAATATGCGGGCTATGTGAAAACTATGTGAAAACATTGCACACAGTAAATCGTAGAATTGTTAGCGGCAGATCGTAAGATTGTGTTCGTTCTTTGTTAGTTTTCTCTTTGGAGTGACGAGTGACGGGTCGAGAGAAGGTGCAGAGAGAGAATTGAGGGTGCAAGGATGGAAAGAGAGAAGGTATCTTTGTGTGTTTGTAGATCAAGCATTTAGGTGAGAGGAGGGCAGGAAGGGTGACCAAGGGCGAGGAGGAGGGTGCATGTTGGGTACGTATCGGAGAGAGGGTCACCTACAGCTGCGAGGGGGGGGACGTCGATGGTCTCACTAAGTATGTGCTGTTTGTTTGTCGACGGGAGGAAACGTTTCCTTGCGGGTGACTACTGCTCTCTCCTTGAAAAACGTGTTGTGAAAGGATAAGGAGGGCAAGGAAGGGAAGGAGGATGGGCCGCCTTGCGGAAAGAAGGACGCAAAGAACGAAAGAGAGAAGCAAAAGAAAAGTGAACGCAATTGAAAGCGGATTTAATGTAGATTCAAGATGAAAATGGAAGGATGATTAAGCTGTGTGTGCGTGTCGTTGTTCGTTGCGAACGGGAAGGGGAAAGGAGGAGAAAGAGAAGGAGAAGGGACGATGCGAACGCAAAGGGAAGGAGAAAGAGAGGAAAGAGGAGGAGAAAAGAGAGGAAAGAGTACTCAAGAGAGTACTTCAATGACCATAAAAGAAAGACAATTGAATCATCATTTAATGGAGTGGTGGTACGCACGCAAAGAAGGTATTAGGACGAGTATCAGGACAACTAGAATAGACGCGATGAGAGGGTGGATGATGTATAAAGTCCAGCACAGTGAGGAGTCTCAAGGGTGAACTGCGATCTAGGATTTTTTTCTTCTTTGTTCTTCGCCTCTTATGCTAACCAGCACAAAATGCAACAAACAGAAACAAACAAAGTGTGTCTCTCTCACAACCCGGTTGACTAAGGCTATGCGACACCTTCTGCGACAAAGAAAAAAAATAGAAAGGATCTATCTTATCGGGAATCCCATCCAGACTGGACTAGCAACATACCAGCACTCAACGATAACGCACAACAGACATACGAGAGCGGAAGAAAAATTCGTTGTAGGAATAATCATGGTCTCCATTCTGGTGTCAATGTGTCTTTCAGTTGATGTGACGGGACCCGAAGGTAAAAAAAATAACAGTTATCGACCAATCATCGCATGGACAACTCAGTCTTACTGCATGGCAACACGTTGATCTTTCTTTTCAATGGTGCATCGATAGACTCTGAAGGTGTAATCCCTAGAGGGTGGTCACGACAATGGCACGCACAGCCATCGATCAAATCGAAATAAAACTTCTGTGGTGTCAACGAGCATGCAAAAAAAGGGTGTGTCTCACTCATCCTTTTTATCAAAGGGTCGTTTTTTTCAGTGCACATCCGCATGTCCGAACAAGAATGATGAGAGGAGTCTAGTCCTAACCCTCCCTTACTCCAGTGGCGCACAAAATAAACATTCCTTTATGCTTCCTTCAACATAGAAAACATCATTCATAGACGAGGACTGCAGGATATGGATCACACCTTGAACCGGTTATTATTCTTTATCTATCTACAAAAAAAAACGGACGATCGGACTATTCAATCTGCAACCTTGCCGTCTGGGTTAGGAATATATAGTGGCGGCACAGACGATTTGTTGGGCAAACTTGCGGGCGTGGTCAGTTCCAATGCCTCATCCCCCGGATTCGAAGCCGATGTCTCGGGTAACAATGGCTTCGAGAGAGACGATCCATTGGCAAGGGCCATATTGGTCTGTGCCTGTGCCGTCTTGCTGTAGCTGTATAAAAGACCGGCAATGAACCCAAAGAGAATTCCAAAGATGTTTCCTGCGGTTGCTGGGTCTCCGAGGAAGAGGATTCCACTGGCTGCTACTGGTAGTTTGTTGAGCGCTCCGATCATTGAGTAGGTTGTTGAGGATGTGCATCGTACACACCATGCACTTCCATATGAAATCAAAAACGATGACACTCCTGATAACACCATGGCCACCACAAGCGCCTGTCGAACATCCTCTGAGCTATTAGCGATATAAAAATACAAGGCGTCAGAGAGAGTCGAGTCATGCACACGATTGAGTGAGCAGTGAGGCATGGTTGGTTCAATCAAAAACGAAGCCGAACTTACAAAGTTCGTTCAAACTCTCCCGATGTCCAACCTTCCAGGAACAGACTGAGGACGAGCATGACGGGCAAACTGAGGATGTTGTTGTAGTAGACAGTATCAAAATCCTTGAAGTTGAAGTACTTGATCCGCTTGCGCATGTAGAGAACGTATCCAGCAGAGGAAAAGCAATTGAGTCCCATCCAGAAGTATCCAATATTGAAGACGATCCCATCCGAGGGTGCAAATGACTTTAGATCGGACCATCCTGCTATCACGGATGAGAGGACCTAAGCAAATTAACAGTAATTGGAGTTAGTTATTATAACTTGCAACAAAAAAAATGATATCATTCTCTGTGCCTATTGTTCTATTCTCCAGGACCAACCATGAATGCAAAGCTGAGCAGCATCATAGGGGTAACCTTGCTCCCGAACCACAGCACCTCCCCATAGGCAATAAGGATAATGGTCAGATTCTTGAAGATGGTATAGAGAGGGATGCTCAGGTACTGCAAACTCTTGCTTCCTGTGTAGACCATTGCGACCAGGGTCAATGAGATCGGAAACCATTTTTTCGCCTCTGTCCTGTCGACCCTCCTGAACGATATCAATCCTGCATTCTTGAACACTTTTAGTAATACAATCGCCACCGTCGTCTAATTGGGGTTCAACGACAAAAAAAAACACACACACACAGTTAGTAAAAACTTGCTCATGTTTGTGTTCTTGGCCTGAGGACAGACGACAGTGGCACCCCGCTTTTGTTTGTTACCTGGACGCTGAGGAGGAGGAAGTTCATGCGAAAGTCAAAGTGGGAGAGGACCATCTTGTTGGTCACTGTCATGAGGATGCTTGAGGCACAGTAGGCGAGGATGCTCATGGGTGCCGAATTGGCGATCGATCCTGACGACGGCGGTGGCGCTGTCATCCTGATGTGTGATGTAGTTTGGTATGTTTGGAAGGAGTTGAGGAAAAGGAGTGAGAGGAGCGAAGCGACAGAGGAAGAGGCGTGTGTATAGTATGGTGTTGCTGTGGAAGTTGGCGGTTTGTGAGTGGACACACAAAACAAAAAGAAAAAAACAGGAAGAGAAAAGAGAAGGACAGAACCCTTGGACCACGAGAGCAAAAGAATGGATTGAGCAACTGAGCAGAAGACAATAAGGGAGGGAAACAATCGCGCTCGGAACAAAAACACTGTGCACCGACTCGTTTTTCTACATGATCAACTGCCCTATTCAAGTGCCTCTAACTTCTTTATTCCCTTCTATCGCTATCCATCCTCTTTTGCTTTGTTCATTGTAATTGCCTCCATCAGGCTGCCCATTCGGGCTGTCTTCTGCAACGACCGTTTTAATGCATGATCGACGGTTATTTCTAGTCTCTTAATGAGCCATCAGTTGCCTTGGATCATATCAACACCAAAATCAAAGACAGTGTGATGGCAATGGTACCTGGATGAAGATCGACCTTCTGTTGATCATTGATCTTCTTTCGAATGAAAGAGAGGGTCACCCTTCTCTGTAAAGTGTTCAAAATACCACGGGGACAGCCTTCGCGATCATCAAATGGAACACCGTGTGTTGTTATATAGGATTCTGCTTTTCATCGCCCAGTCTGCGAACACTTGGGCCTTTGTCCGCGCTTGGAAGAGCGGCTAGTAGTTTCAGTATGCCCTCCTTGTGCCAATTGTTTATCAGTTGCATGTATCCTCATGTATCCGTTTCAAATGCACGAAAAGAAAAAAAGAGCTTCATGCTTTGTATTTCGCATCCAAGTTGAGAACAATATAATAACATCCTAAAAGAGCCACAAGTTGTGAGATAGTGTCTAGAAGGCCTTCTTCTTCTCGTCCATGGACATGCCGCCGGGTCCGATGGTGACGAGGAGCAAGAGTCCACCCATGATAGACAGAGTCTGGAAGAAATCGTACTTCAAGAAATCCTTGTGAGCAGACGAGTTCTCGACCGACCACCAGTTGTTGACGACAATGTTGAAGACCGAGAGGAAGAGGACCAAGAACATGGCCGACCACTTGGCCTTGAATCCCACAGCGACCATGACACAGGCACCGAATCCAATGATGGCGCCAATGAGACGGGTGAACGACCACGATCCGTGGAGAATAAAGCCGACAAACAAAAAGATCAAGAGGACACGTCCTGCGAGCTGGAAGTAGGTGCGTTTGTTAGACTCTGTGACCGAGGGCAATCCTGCAAAGAGCTGGCGGCGCTTGTCGATACTGTCCGAGACGACCATGAGGAGACCGCCAATGACGGACAGGTTACGGAGGAAGAAGCTGGCGTCAAAGATGAGTCCGTATCCGAGGGCCTGTGTGACAACAACACCCAACAGGGCTGCTGCTGCGTATTCCGTGTGTTTCCTTGCAATCACCAGTGTCGAGCAGCTCAACATCGTCTATTTTTCATGTATGCGTTATACCACCGCCAACCGATAAGCGAAATGATGCGATTGTTTAGTGCCAAGCTCACAATAGCGTTTTTAGCTCTTGTCACGAAGGTTCCTTGTCCCAAAAGGACAGCTCTGAAGGACAACAACTTACGAGGACGTTTATGATGAGGAAGAGATGGCTAAGGCCCCAGGGGAAACCACGGTGGCGCTGGAGGTAGAAGAGCTGGTCGCTGAACTGGGTGGAGATGCGGAGTGCGTCTTCGAGGAACGTGACGACGATGAGGAAGCGAGCGATGGTGGGGATATGGGGCTTGATGGGCTGTCCGATCCTGTCGATGATGTCCTCCAGCTTGCTCGAGTAGTCCTTGAGGGAGTCCATGGTGTGTGAGTGATGATCCTTATAGGATAGGTTGATGGGTGAAGGGCGGGAGGGATGAGTGATGAGAGAAGAAAAGAAGAACAAAAGAAAGGCGCTCTTTCTTGAGCAACAGAAACAGACGCGAAAAAAAAAAAAAAAAAAAAAAAAACGAACAAGGGTGAGAGACGGAAATATTGTCATGTGCAGCGACAGATTCGAAACGCACTTTATCGAGTAAGAGCCAATGACATGCCACCAGCGAATGGACCATGGTCGGACTTCCGTGTCTCTCTTTGCCTCTTTGCCTCCTCATCTGCGTTTCTCTGTACTACATGCACTATTAGAACCAAACTGGTTTGCAACAGCAACCATTGCTCGCTCCTGTTCTCTCAACAGCTTGCTGTATCCGAACTTCCCAAGGCATTGACCACCAATACTACTCGCAACTGATACAGTATCAAACAGCAAAAAGGGATGGAAGGATTCACGCGCATGCTTTTTATTCATAGACGACAACAATTCAAAAGTTAGAGGTGATGGAGAAGGTGAGGGGTGGCATCAAAAAACAACCAAAAACTTAGAACTGGAGAGCGTGGGGGGCCTGACCCTTGGAGAGGGAGAACTTGGCAGACAAGTACTGGCGGAGGTGCTCGACCTTGTTGATAGCCTCAAGGATAACCTTGTCGGTGGCCTTCTGGAGAGCGACCTTGTTCTCGGCAAGGGGCTCCTTCTTCTTCTCACCCTCGAAGAAAGCCTCCTCAGTGGCGGCCTTCTTGGTGGCCTTGGCGCGGGCAAAGTAGGCATCGTTCAACTGAGCATCGATCTGTTTGTTCAATAAAAAATACGCAAGCTAGATTAGTCCTCCGTTACAGTGTTTTTTTCTTAGTCATCCCGTATCCTGTTTTTGCTCAATTGACTGAAAATCTCGCACAGGCCACATTGCATGTAAAAACCAATCGAGCAACATTAAAGCGAAGGGTTACCTTGGTGGCATCAAGCTCGACCTTGGTGGAGGTGGCAATGACGTAGGCCTGGTTGACACGCTTGAGGGGGACACCGTTGACCTTGAAGGGGCCGGAGACGAGCAACAAGCCAGACTCGAGCTGCTTCAAGAAGACAACGCGCTTGCCGCGGTAGCGACCAGCCAAGAGGATGAGGACGGTACCGGGAACGATGGTGCTGCGGAGCTTGGCAACACCGGCGTGCTTGCGGTTCTTCTTGGGGAGAGCAACATCCTCAGCGGCGTAGAAGCGGGGGGCCTTGGCAGCGGCAATGACGCGGGAACCACCGTTCTTGGCGCCCTTGACCTCAACGGTCTTGTTGGCGGCAGCGGGGGCGGCGGCAACGGTACCAGCGGGCTTGCGCTTGTACAAGACACGCTTGGCAACGACCTGCGAGCGGCTGTACTTGTTGACACCAGGGGCCAAGAGCGTGTTGCGGGGCTAAAATGAGGGAGTATTCATCCAGCAGATAGTCCAACCGTTAATGCCATGTCCCCAGGGTGGGTTGATTTGAAACGTCAGAGTACTCTCAAGTAGAGCTATGGTGATAGTCTGGTTGATTGTTGTTGCTCCTGGTGAATTTCCTGCCGCCCTTCTTGTTCCCTCCTGAACCATGATACTTCCTGTTCGTGGCAAAGCGCTATTACGGAGAACAAACACCGTAGCAAGGCTTTTGTTGTGTCCAGGTAAAAGGCATATTCGCTACTCAGGTTGCATTGCCATACAGCCGGTAGACTCTGATTCCTGATGAACCGCTATTTCGGTCATGGTTAGCTCTTCGGAGCAAAAGCAGCAGATCATCGCCCTCTGTGATCGCTGCTTTTCCTGCCATGGTCGAATCAGTTCATCTTGCTTGCTCGAGAAACCCAGCTCTGTTCCGTCCTATTGCTGCACCCTATCCCTCCTATACTAAATCTGTCGCAAGATACACTTCCCGATCCCCTAGCACGCGTTGCAGCTGTGTCGCTCAAAAACGACGATTTGCGAAAGCACACCAGAGCAGAGTCGGTTTGTCGAGCACTTCCGAATAGCCTCATATGAAGTATGAGGGTGCAATGTAGAGTGTCGATATAGCCGTTTCCTTGATCGTTGGTGGTTATAGGACTGTTTGTTGGCTCTCGATCCGCTCTCTGAGTGTGCACTGTCTGTTGCATACCTTGTGAACCATTTCTGATATCTATTAATGTGTTCGAACAAGTGTTGAGGAAGCGATGTGGTTAGTTGATGATTCCTCTCAACTGTCTAGGGTGCAACGACGATTCCTCCAGATGCGACAAGTTGTTGCGTCCAGTCGGGTCCTCTGTGAGAACAGATTGTTGTTTGCTGCGATTGATGATGGATGCTGCTTGCTGAGGTTTGTGCAAAGTCACAAGTTCATCGTTGTCCCGCTTCTGGTTCATCAGCCTGCCGGCGGGGAAGGTTGATGCAGTCTGCCTAGTTTTTCTGGTACGGGATCTGTTTCTTGGTTGCTGTCGTATATTCTCATAGTCGCATGAAAGAGGTGTTCCAACCCCGTATGACTTTCGTAGAAAAAAAATGTCGATAGGTCCCGGATGTGGGTGTTGACAATATATTTCCCTGGTTTGACGATTAGGCGATTTTTTGTTATTTTGGCGATGGTGGTTCCTGATCGATGGGTGCGACATGGGTTCGGTGTAGGTATTATGGATCGATGGATGGGATGCATCGATGGATGGGTTCCTGCTAGTATAGTGTAGCGACCGATTCCCTGCCTGCCGAGCATTACATTAAGAAAGTATATCGTGAAGAAAGGAAGATCAAGCCCAGCCAGTCAAGGCAGGTCCATATCCGCGTTACATCACGTGGATTTCGTTTGAGGTCTCATTCTTAAGGGTCACTTCATGGAATCCCTCAGAAGCAAAGTAAGAAAAGTGACCTGTCCTGCTTCAAGGAAAACGCGTACTGCAGTGCAGGCAGGTTTAAAAAAAGAAAGCGATCACACACATTCATCTTTCTTCCATCGCTTTCTTTCTCACACACCACACACACACACTCAACAAACACCAATATGAGGTAGGAAGAGAAAGGACGACAGCACTCCTGGACGGCGCTCGACACCCACTTAGCGCGTGCTAAGCAATGACACTTTACATCTAAAGCAACAAAGTACTTGACGGAGGATGCGATGCACTTCAGCAGATCTCCTGAGCATCAATGTTTAAACAGGATACTTGCGAAGCACTCACACCCTGAGAAAGAGAAACTCGGGAGTGACAAGATTGATAGCCTTTTATTGGCAGTTGTGCTGATATACGGCTCTTTTTTTTCTTTTTTGTTCGGTTGGCGATGTCGATTAGCACCGCTACACTTACTCCTGAAGGTATGACGACAAGACCTTTTTGCTCTTCCGGTTCACATTCTGCCTTGTCGTATTTGCCGAGATTTTCTCAATTGTCCATGTTGTCGCTGCAAAATAGGACTTGAGGATCGCCATGATGACTAATGTTATCGTTTTCACATCTGTTCAACTGCATATAGTTATCTGGGCCCAAAGAGCCAACTTGGTCTATGTCACCGTTAACCTTGCCGACACCACGCCCACCATCAACCTTACCGAGGACAAGCTTGAAGTCACCGCCACCTCTGACGGAAAGAACTACCACGTCAGCCTCGAATTCAACAAGCCCATTGTTCCCGAGGTATGCTTCTTTTCCACTATTGACGTCTCTTTCAGCATTTGGTTACTGTTGGCACCAATACTCTGTAGATCGCTTTTTTTCTTCAAACAGTGGAAAGTTGGAACAATAGACAGAGGGATCTGGAAAACTGCGACAAAACATGAATCAACTGAAATCAGAGGAAGGCGACAGTATCCAACGCTTGTTGTTTTTAATCGACGATACTGACCATCTGATGAATGATCATATTGCCCTTCTTTTGTAGACCTCGACCACAAAAGCCACTGCGCGCAACATTTTCTTTATCCTCAACAAGAAGGAGGACAACTGGTGGCCCCGTTTGAACAAGGGCAGCAAGCTCAACTTTGTCAAGACCGACTTTGCCCGCTGGAAGGATGAGGATGATGAGGATGATGAGCCCGAGCAGAACGAGGCCGCGGACATGGGTAGCATGGGCGGTATGCCCGGTATGGGTGGCATGCCCGGTATGGGTGGTATGGGTGGCATGCCCGGTATGGGTGGTATGGGTGGTATGCCCGGTATGGGCGGCATGGGTGGTATGGGCGGCATGGATCTTCAGAGCTTGATGGCCAGTATGGGTCAGGGCGGCGGCATGCCCGACATGGGCGACTATGGCGATGATCAGGTAAACGATCGATGCCCTTCAACTATTTACTTTGTATGGCAAGCTGTCGTTGATATACAGAATATGTGGACTAACGTTGAATATCATGTTTGTGTACCTCACTAATAGGATGATAGCGGTGATGAGGATGAGGATGAGATCCCCCCTCTTGAGGCTGAGGATGGCAAGAACTAAACAGAGGGCAGTAACTTTTAACATCATCTTTGCCTCTATTAAAAAATACAACAACTTTGCTTTGCAACTCTTTTCTGTTTTTCTGTCGTCCATGTTGTGTTGGCGTCATCAGTCACCATTCTTACTGTGCGCGCTCATGGGAACTTGCGAGCTCAATAAAATAGCATCTCACTGCCTGATCAAGACATCTCATTATTGTCCCCACACGAACGCCCGAACGAGTGTGCTGTTTCTAGGCAAAGGATAATCCCCTGATCTTGTCAAATGAAGGATATGATACCCGAGTGCCAAACATGTTCCTGAACGTTTGAAAATGGGGTGAACCTCCATTGATGTATGTCCAGCTTCTCGGGTTTTGTGTCGTAGTGGTGCGACGAGACAGGGGGGATTGTCTAAATCTGAATCGGACCGACAGTGCAAAGGAAGCAAAGCGAGCAAAGAGGGATATACAAGACATTTAGGGATACCAGGAAAACGGATTGCGATCAGTGAACAGTAAAAAGCAAACAAAAGCGCTCATAGAAGGCAGCAAAAGAATATGGACAGAGGTTGTTATGTTCTTGTCATTGTGGTTCTTCACGATGGATCGAGCGAAAGAAGGAATATGGACGAATGGAGACAAACTAACACTGAGTTGCTCGCGTTGTTGTTGTTGGACTTCTCTCTAAAAGAACATTTCTTTGGTATAAACTAACGACTAAAACCAGCGTCGGGCTCTTACTCCTGGTTGATGTCAAGTCGATCGATGTTCCCTTTGCCCATTGATGATCTTGATGGTGAGGGGTGGCTGTGGGGATGGCGGTGATGGATGGGAGTGAGTGAGTTAGTAAGACTATAGTGCAAGTAAGCCTACGGTTTTCCCATGAAAAGAGAAAAATAAGAGTGATCGAGGGACGGGGACCCCGTCCTGGTGCCTGAATAAAAAATGAAAAGAGCTTGTTCAATGACATCAGAGGTATGACGTTTGGCCGTTGGAGGCTGTTTTGTCGGAGAATACGAGAATACGAGGGAGTGATTTATTTCAATTCGACTGCAATACACTAACAGGTCTGACTTTTTTTCGTAACGGTAACGCTCGGAGTCCGACACTTTTTTTTCTTTTCTTTCGGTGGACCCACCCCCAGACCACCACCGCTACAACCACTTTCAGAATAATCGTCGCCATCATCGTCACCGTTCTCCCCCCATCCCCCCCCCGCGTCCCCGATCCTTTGCACTTTTACTTCATCATTGATCGTCTGATCTTTGTTACTGTTCATTTTCATTGACGTTCTGTACGTTGGCTGAAGTTCATTTTTTCTTTCTTCGCCACTTGTTTTTTTTGTCCAACTCCAACTCCAAAGATGCATAGCAGAAGGACATGCAAATGGCACTACGAGTGGCCAGTTGGCCGTTTGTGCGACACAAAAAAAGAGCAACAAACCAAACAAGCAATAGCCTCGTGTGTGTTTCTTTCCGCCCTTTCTCCATGATCGAAAAAGAAGGTACCCATCATCGTTGCCCACAACGAGGGACGGGGGATTAGGATTTGGTTTAGCTTGGTTCTTGTGTCCCACCTTCCATTCACTTCATGTACTGGTACTGAAGTTGTCGGAGGGAGAAGGCGAATGGGTTAGAAAACGCTTCCTTCTATATCTTCACAGTACACTTTGTAAAACTTAAATAAAAAAAAACGACGCCCATTCACCCAGGTTGGCATCAATACCTACGCGAAATGGGGTGATTGAGAGAGAGAGAGAGAGAGAGAGAGAGAAGGAGAGAGAGAGGGGAAGGAAGGAGAAAGCAATGCGGTCATGGAGGAATTTCGAGGGCTCTTTCATTTTTTTTGTGTGTGTTTAACTGTGTTGTCGACTTCATTACTGTACTTGGATTAGGTCAGGCACAACGGTGACTGGCTGGCTGTGTTTTGTGTGTGTTTGGGTGCTATCGTAATTGTTCTCATCGACCCAATCGTCTAAAAGATAGAGTTGTTGAGAAGTTGAAGAAGGAGGAATCTTTTTAATGAGAAGCAAGAGTAGAGCTGCCAGGGGTAATGGCAGCAACGGAGTAGCGAAAGAGAGACTTGACAAGGATAGGTGTTATTGTTGGATCTAAGTAAGGGTAAAGTGCCCACGTTCTCTCTTCTGAGGGTGATGGATGGTACCATTTAGTGGTGGGGTCACCGGTAGTCCAGCTGGGTATGATTATTATTATTATTATTGCCGTGTCTCTTGTCTCTTGTCCTGGATGGAGAGATGGCCCCTGATCACTCGCTGGTCACTGATCAGTTACCCGAATTCGTATTGTATTGTATTTGTACTGTACAGTAGAGAGAGGCGCCTCTTCCTTTTCCCAGACACCTCCACTTGAACAGCTACGACACAAGCGCCGAACCTTGATGGCCCCCATCCCAATGAACTGAAACCGCGCTAGAGGAACTAGCCTGGTTCACTCCTACTCTCCAACCTTCTATATAAACAGGCGTCCTTTCGATGGTCACATATCTCCACTCTTCTTCTTCCTCTTCCTCTCTACTCCTCTACCCCTGGCCTCTCATTCCTTTCCTTTATCTTCAAGACCTTCTTTCTCTTTTCTCGCATCTCTCTTTCTTTTCTTCTCTTTCATTTCGCCCTTCGCCCTTCGCCCTTTGCATTTACCACTACTATTACCACACTACTATTATCTTAATCTGTAAATACCCTAAAGACCAATAAGAATGGACTCTCAATACCCTCACACCACAGCAACAACAACGGCACCATCAACGCCGGACAGTCACACGATCGACATGTCTTCAGGTCTCGATATCTCCGCCTCGGAAATCTCCCGATCAATGTCAACCAGGAGACTCCAGGCTAGCCATTCAACAGAAAACTTCTTCGACGGCCCACCACCAGTTATCGACGAGGAGGAACTTCACTCCATCGTTGGCCAGCACCTTGTCATCGCCCCTGTCCCCGCAGAGATCGACACCTCAACGCCCTCGATCCATTCCGACTCTAATCTCGAGGTCCTCAATGATTCTGCCGCCTCTCAGCGCCGCCTCTCTTCCGTCACCGCCACACCCACCACCTCTGCCGATTCGGTCACCGAGAGCGCCACAACAGATGGATCGGCCACCCTCAACTCCCATTTCCAACTCCAAGGTGGTGCCGACGCCAACGATGTTTACAAGTGGCACGAGAAGCAGACAAGACGCCAATTGGGCGCAAGATCATATACCTACCATGCCCCTTCTAAGAAGGACATGACCATCGAGACCATGAAGGCCCCCGGAGGATTCCGCCGCCATTACATCCAGAACGAGGCCGTCGCTCGCGGCGAGCCCGCACCAGCTCTCCCCACAAAGTCGTTCATCCACTTCCTGGGCCTGTTCAACATGTACGAGATAGATAACTTTGCCGGCGAGAAATTCCGTTCGATCCCCAAGCGGTCGATTGTTGTCCCAAAGGATGCCGATAAAAGACGTCTGTCGATGGCAGACACTCTTGGCAGCCGGCGGTACTACATGCCTGGCGAGAATCTGAAGGAGGACGAGGAGGCGATTGAGGAGCCTGAGGAAAAGATTTCCTTCTCCAAGGCCGTCGGAATGCTTTTCAAAACGTAAGTTCGTCCAACTCTCCCTCTCGATAATTATGCAATTGGTCATAGCTGACAATTTGGCACACCGATCTTTACCACCTGGCTTGAACGTTTTTTTTCTTTTGATCTGACGGAGTATTCTTTTTTCCCTTGCTTCATAATTCTAGGTTTATTGCCAGCGGTATTCTCTTCCTGCCGAATGCGTTCAAGAACGGTGGAATACTCTTTGCTCCTCTCTTCATGACTCTGATAGCCGTCCTCTGTCTGCACTCCTTCTTGCTTCTGGTTAAGTGTCGCGAGCTGCACCCTGGTTCTTATGGTGACATTGGACAGCGCTTTTACGGTCGCTGGATGCGATATATTGTTCTCTTTGCCATTGCCATTTCCCAATTCGGATTCTGCAGGTATGTTACCTACTTCTCTAGCCTTTTTTTTTCTCCTTGTTGGCATTCAATTGCAATCGTCAAGATATTAGCTAACCTCGCTACATCAATTTTACTTTTTAGTGGTTACTGTATCTTCTTTGCCCAGCAGTTTGCGATTGTGGTCAACAGTCTAGGAGGTGCCGATTTGGACAAGATTGTCTGGATCGCCATCTTCTTTGTGATCCTCGTGCCCTTTACCCTAGTGCGCAACATTGGCAAGCTTGGTTTTAGCACCCTGGTGGCCGATCTGTGCATCATTGTTGGTCTGATCTACTTGTACACCTACGATATCAAGGAGCTGATCATCAACCAGGGCTCGCCTACCCCTCTTCGTCTCTTCAACTCGGAAGACTTTGGTCTCTTTATCGGAACTGGTAAGCACATCACAGCACCCAGACTGCAGCACATAGCAAATATCTCGTTCTCTCTCTTTTGATTCTGGTTATTAACATACTCTTCCTTCTCTTTTCAATTTATTGTAGCTGTGTTCTCGTTTGAAGGAATTGGAATGGTTATTCCTATTTGCGGAAGCATGGCCAATCCCAAGCAGTTCCCTCGTGCATTGACCATTGTGCTCTCCATTGTCTGTGTCCTCCTCGTCAGCTTTGGTTGTTTAGGCTATGCAGCCTACGGTGACAACGTCAAGACGATTGTCCTCGATGACCTTCCTAACGCCACTGGTGGAGAGAAGGCTGGCAAGAACGCTATCCAGCTGCTCTACGTCATCGCGATCTACTTGACCACCCCGTTGATGTTGTTCCCTTGCATCCGCATTATGGAGCATATTATCGGATCAGTTATCGACAGATCGAATGGTGGCAAGATGACGACGTTGAAGGAGAATGTGGTCCGTGTGTTGATTGACTTTGCGGTTGCGGCTGTTGCCTATGCTGGTTACAACAAGTTGGATATCTTTATTAGTTTTGTCGGATCGTTTGCCTGTGCTCCATTGTTGTTTATCTTCCCTCCACTGTTCCATTTGAAGGCTTTCCCCAACCAACCCATGTGGCGCAAGGGTAGCGACGTGTGCCTTATCCTCTTTGGCTTCGTCGTCTTCTTCTACACCCTTACCATCACCATCCAGTCCTTCTCCAGGCAGGAGTAGTTCTAAATTTCCAATAAACCTTGATCCAATCCATCCGGCGTGTCCATTGCTTGTACGATTAATTTTTCTTCTTATACGACTTATCATGTGATCATGTGGTTGTGTTCAACCTTCTACCTGCTTGTCCGCCGCCAACTTCAGTAACTCTAACTGTTCTCCCCTGTGGTGGTTCCAAAAGGACGATTAGTTTGCTTGGTTTGAAATCCACCAGCACGCTGCCTCTCTTGTCCCTCCACTCCATCACCTCTTCCCTGATTCCTAATCCACCTCATTCCCCTTTCTCTCTTTCCCTTTTCATCCTCCCTTTGTCCAATTGAACCTCGCACACACATCACTTTCCTTCGGACCGTATACCTCGACAAACCACACATCCGAAGACACAGCGCAGACAAAACACCAAGAGCTCCTTACCTCAACGGACCAAGTGTTCACAGCGGATTCAGCGCCACCATCACCATGCCACATCAGAACTCGTCCTCACCACCACTACCTCGGCTACAACCTCCAGAATCGGACGAGTGGTATGCCAAAGTCAAGTAAGTCTTTCCCTTTACCTAACCCTTTACATCACGATGGCATCATTCACTCCATCGCGTGTACTTTCTTTGTCGCGTTTTCTACGCCTTTTTATTGTTCAAACTTTCTTCTTCGACTAACCGGCCTTGCTTGTGGTTTTTTTAATACGAAAAATAGGGCTGTGCCTCACAGTTCGCCTGTGTTTGCCTGTATCCTCCCCGGCTGCGCTAACTCATATCAGACTAAGCAGGGACTGGAGCGTCACTTTATGTCCATTCATATGCCCAAGCCCATCGTGAAGCCTGTCGCCCCAGTGGCCCAATCTACATCCTCAACATCGTCTTCAGGATCAACCAACAACGCGGATCACACTGTTCGTAGGAGTGGCAACAGCAGTACCACAGGAGGTCGAAAGGGGCGTATCAAGTCGCATCGTATTGGACGTCCACCAGGTTCTGGCCTCAAAGCCCGTCTGGAGCAGGAGGCTATCCAGCGAGCATTGGACCAAGTGTTGGCCGAGGAACAGGAGAATCGTCAGAAACACCAACAGCAACAGCAAGAAAAGGACCAACACGTCAATCACTCCCTCTTGGCCAGCCACCCTGCTTCGACCCGACAGGACCATGCGAATGACGACGAGAACAAACCTAGAGAGGAGCGGTCCTACCTCGAATTCTTTCCTTACCTCATCACAACTATTCGACTCGAAATCGTGGACCCTTCGGAAGCGGTAGAATCGACGGCCATGGTCGAGAGCGAGGATGCTCACACAACTTCGCCAGCGGCAAGCACATCTGTCGATATTAAGACATCTCCTGTCGAGGCTGCACCACCACCTGCACAAATGGAAACAGACGCAGACTCCACACCGTCAACACAGCCGACAACGGAGGTAGAGCAACCGCCCTTCCCTGAGTCATCAATTCACCAGGATCCAGTCGAGGCCGCCCCTCAAGAGAATGCACCAAAGGAGCAGGATCTGTTGGATGTCACGATGGAGAGCGCAGGCGTGTCAAACGACTTGCTGCAACCATCTGACGATGAGATGGACGCTGATGGGGCCACCTCGGACCGGGAAGTGTTTTTCGACGCTAAAGGCTTTATGGAGGGCGAAGCTGAGGATCCTCAAAACTCAAACTCCGTCGTGCCGCTGGAGAATGGGTCGTCGGAGCCTGTCGAGCCAACCACCACCATCATTACCGCCGCCACCGACACCACTGAGACCTCAGAGATTAAGGTGGAAAGCGACGCCATGGACGTGGACACAGACCTGAAGGAAACGAAGGAAGCGAAGGAGTCGACACCATTCACAACCCTCCTGGACACCTCCACTTTGTCAGAGACTGCGGCCGAGAAGCCTCAGGAGGAACATACCCCAGGTGCAAGCGTTCAGGAGACAGAGCACAAGCCAGTACAATCGAGCACGCGACAATCCAAGGCAGCAGCACAGGCGGCTGCTTTACCTACGATCAAAATCACTATTCCTGCACTACCTCCTTCGTCGACTACTGTGCTTGAACCCAAGACTCCATTGACGTTGCTCCCCAAATCGACATTTCGGTTGATTCCACGCGAAGAGGATGATCTGGAGGAATACCATTTACCTACAACACACAATGTGCGATATATCGGTACGTCTTTTGCTCTTTGGATCTATTTTTTTTAGATCAGGATACTTGTATGCTGTAGGCATATGATCAACTAATCAACTTTGCTGACCTTCAATGTAACATAATAGAGCCAACGGAGACGGAGCTTGCGGAGCGCGTTGAGTACGACATGGATGAGCAAGGTAGGGCGTGCTGAATAATTGCAAGGACGGCTTCGTATATTCATCGACATAATGGCGAGGCAGAATAGCTACTGACAATGTATCTCCATTGTCAAAATAGACGAAATTTGGCTCAAGGAAGTCAACGCGCAACGACGGAAACAGGACCTGAGCGAAGTGACCTCGACCATGTTTGAGAAGATCGTTGACCGACTGGAGAAGGAGTGGTTCGACTTGGTAAGGGCGTTGTTTGAACTACAAGACAAAGGAATAACGGTATAGTATTGATGAGATGGATCTCTGACCGTGATTTTTTTGGACATTGATACAATAGACGAAGAACATTCCCAAGCCCACGGAAAATCTGCCTCCCGAGGACTCTGCTTGCAATATCTGCGATGACGGCGAGTGTGAAAACAGCAATGCTATTGTCTTTTGCGACGGCTGCAACCTTGCTGTCCATCAAGGTAAACCTGGATATCCTAGACAAATTGCATACACTTTCACTCACATCATGCTCCAATGGACCTATTTCAATTTGCATTCAACTGACAATTCTATTCCCCCCTATTTGTAGATTGCTATGGTATTCCATATATCCCTGAGGGTCAATGGCTTTGCAGGAAGTGTATGCTGTCGCCTCAAATGCCAGTGTCTTGTATTTTCTGTCCGGGAGAAGGGGGCGCTTTCAAGCAGACCAACACGAGCAGATGGGCTCATCTTCTGTGCGCCAGCTGGATCCCAGAAGTCGGAGTGGCCAACGTTGTCTACATGGAACCCATCGACAATATCGAGAAGATCCCATCGAGTCGATGGAAGCTGACATGTTATATCTGCAAGCTCAGGATGGGCGCCTGTATCCAGTGTGAGACCAAGAACTGTGTCCGCGCGTTCCATGTGACATGCGCACGCAAGGCCCATCTGTATATGAAGTCCAAGTTGTCCAAGGTCTCCAATTCAGGAGGAGAGGTTTTGGTCTATCGTGCCCACTGCCACAAGCACACACCAGTAAGCGAAGCCTTGACATATGTGGGATAGGATGATATACCACGAGCTCCACCTAACATGACCCATTTTGCGTTTTCTCGTTTCTAGCGCGACTACAAAGGATCAATCGATATCGCAGGAGCGGCAGCTGCGGTGATAGCAAACAAGGGGCTCAAGAAGAAACGCGTCAAGATTCGCGCATTGGACGACGACAGCGATGATTTGGACTATGGTCGCAGCGATTCGGAGGACACTGTGGATAGGCGGCTCACTTCTTCCAGTAAGGACAAAGGATCGACGTCAGCATTGGCGTCGTCACAGTCACTTGGAGGGTCAAGGACGTCCAAGGCTGCTCTCGCTCACCAGAAGCACTATACACCTGGCGCTCCTCTGGCGCCTATGCTGATCGTCAATCGCCTTCTGCCATTTGTTTCCAAGCTTACGGCGAAAGGAGCAGGGCAGAAGAAGTTGTCGGCTCAGAACTTTCTCTATACCATCTGCAAGTATTGGTCGCTGAAGCGTGAGTCACGTCGCGGTGCCCCACTTTTGAAGCGCCTCCATCTTGAGCCATGGACAGCGTCAGCCTCGGCCCACCGACAAACAGAGGAAGAAAAGACAAAGAAGCTGCAGACGCAGTTGTTGTTGCGAGGCGATCTGGAAAAGGTGCGGATGCTTGCTGAGCTTGTTCGGAAACGTGAGCGGGCCAAGCTGAAGCGACAGGAGCTGCAGAACCGATACCTTTCCAAGATTATGTTCCCACTCAAGACGATTCTGGAGGACACTCTGCTCGAGCTGGAAAAGTAAGTGTGCCTGACTTTTGATTTCTGCTTGCAAAGAATTGGCTGATCCGATAGTAAAGGTATTCATGACGGACTATTCAAACGTTTTCTCTGTTTGTTTAGGTTGGATCGCCAAAAGTATTTTGCATACCCCATCTCGGCAGAGGAGGTCCAGGATTACCATGACGTGATCAAGAACCCGATCTCCTTCCAGACCATCAACGAGAAACTCGTCGCTCACAAGTACCAGTCTGTCGATGAGTTTTCTGTAAAGCTATCCTTGCATTTTATTAGATCATGTTTTACTGTTCTGCTAAAAGGTCTGCATGCTGACATTTTGTATTTCAACACTTGGACTATAGGATGACGTGCGGCTGATTTACGAGAACTGTATAACCTACAACAATGCTGACACGCCCTACTACCGATCTGCGGTTCGTCAGTCCAAACAAGGAGAGCCACTGCTGGAGAAGGCCAAAGAGGACTACGAGAGTCTAGAGATTGACCCTAGGACAGGATTTCTGGCGGTCCCTATCGATCAAGAGATCTTCAGCTACAGCTTGGTGCCTTTCCAAAAGTCTGACGACGATGAGGAGAACTCTACTCCGGCCGAGGATCCGCCGGCTACTCCCCTTTCTACCTCTACTGATACTACTTCGCCGCCCAAACGCAGACGAACGACGGCTGAACCGCCAAAAGCCTCTGGACGGACGCTCAGGGGCACTCCGGGCAGGGTCTCACAGGGAAGCAGCCAGCCACCTACACCCAACGGTGACGCCAAACCACCAACGCCAATATTGGATCAATCACCCGAAATCCGTGCGCCTGTACGAGCAACAGCACCCACAAGAGCAGGAGCACCCGTACGAACAGGACTCAAGCCAGAGGCTCCTAAGCTCAAGACGGCGACGCTGACAAGAGCGGAGATGGCCAGGACTAGGGGGGAGACTGGCGAGAGCGTCGAATGGGAAGCTGCGGATGAGATGCTGGAAAAGTTGAAGCTAAAGTCCAAAAAGTCGCGAAGTCTGGCAAATAGCTTACAGTCCCGATTGAAGCCATCGATTGTCGACAAGGCGGTGGTGATCAACAAAAAGGCACCCAAGGGATGGGCATATGTTGTTGTTGAGGGCGAGGAGGACACGACGGAAGGCGAGGATGGCGACGATGAGGAGCAGGCTTCTTCAACACGCGCATCCTCTTTGACTCCTGCTCCTGGGCAATCGTTGCAAGATCCAGCAGAAGGAGATGATACCGACGCTGCGAAACTGGAGGTGGCCAAGCGTGATGAGAGCCGACGGAAGGGTAGGGAGAAGGCGCTTCAGAAAAAATTGGACAGGGAGGCCAAGGCGAAGGACCGTATGGTGAAATACCATAGTCAAAAGGCAGAGAAGGCGCGATTGCTGGAGGAGACGTTGGCCAGGCGAGCTCGTGGGGAGGAGGTGTCAGAGGACGAGGCTGAGAAGAAGAAAAAGAGTTCCAAGCCAGCTGTTGCCACTCGGACAAGGAGGGTTGCTGGCAAGATATCGGACGAAGTCAATCCATCTGCGCTCGATGGAGATGCCCAGAGGTCACAACCAGGGTCACCGTCGGTTACAAGGCCACATGTCAATGGAGGGCAGAAAAGTGGCGGATCAAGTCCTTCCGGCGAAGCTGTGGAGGGCGGTGCTGGTAAGAGGAATGCGGGATCACCAGAGGACACGGAGCAGCAGCAGGAATGTTCCGAAAAGTCAATCGAATCGAACCATAAACCGACGACAAAGAAGAGCTCTGTGAGCGAGCGTCCGTCCAAGGGCAAGCGGAGATCCCATGGGGATGCGGAGAAGCATCGTCTTGAGGTGGATGGGGATGCGAACGGTGGCGATAAGGGGGAGGAGGAGTCGGATGCAGCGGATCGGTCGGAGGAGAGCGAAGCTGTTCGAGCTAAGGAGGAGCCTCCGCGCAAGCGGCAGAAAAAGGCAGGCCTGGGACGATTGAGTCCACCAGAAGAGCTGGATGATGAGTCTGGAGTGGGCAACCCTCGCCGGTTACGGTCCCAAGAGACAACCCCTCAGGCCGTGAATGCTGCAGCACTTGGGCCTCGTCGGCCCAGTTTGGCTGGTTCTAGGGGTAGTAGCACCAAGGGTGGTGTTGACAGTACTTCTGGTGAATACAACCAGCAACAGAACCCAGCTGCAGTGTGAGCGAATTTCATGCCCACTTTGCCTCTACTTTTTTCTTTTAGACATGTCGATCGTATCTCCTCGACATTTTATCCTCCCCTTACAGTTTCGTTAGTAATAGAACTTTTTTTTCTTTTGAATTGATGCCTCTGCTTTCTTCTCTGATATGGGCAATGACCGCGGCTTGCGACGACACGATAATCCAGCTCTCAAGACAATTCGACTCGGCATCAGATGAAATAGAAAAAGAACCGGGGTTACAAAAAATAATAATGGGACGCAGCAATACTTTGACGTCCTGTACAAGTGTGGTTGGCATGACTGTTGTGTGTGGTTTATTAAGCCATGTTGTCGAGGATCCCCTCGAGGACACTGGCCGAGAGCGGAATAAATAAGATCTCGACTCCATCAGGACCCTTCTTGGACTGGACGATCCGGTGGTCTCTGAACTCTGTGAGTTGTGTCCGGAAGGTGACCGCGTTACTGACCAAGAAGTTCTCCTGGCACTTCTTGAATAGTGCGTTATAGGCCATCCCCAGATCCATGTAGTTCTTGGCTCCTCCACTGGATGCGCCTCCATTGTTGTCGTCGGGGTTGGTCTCGGATTGGATCTGGTGCTCGGCCAGGACCCTGAAAAGTCCCTTCCCGTTGGAGGTTAAACTGGCCAGGACAAACTGGATACCACGCGCGCCGAGTTCGCCCTGTCGGACCATGATCGAGTTTTCGAAACTGGTTTCGGTCAAATAAGGCCTGAAGGTCGTCAGTTCATGCCAGACCCAATTGAACCGTGCAGATTTGACAGTGTCCCAGAGGATGTTGGCGTTGATGTGGTCGATCGAGGCGATGAGGTGGATGTGTGGACAGGAGGCGAGGAGCGAAAGGGCGGATTGGGTCTTTTCGGCGCGGAGTCCTGATCCGTCAATGTTGTGGATGAGGAGGTAGAGTTTTTGGATATCCCGCTCCGGCTGTGCGAAATAGGCGCGGATGAATGCGACTTGTTCCTGGAGGGATCCGGTCGGGCCCGAGTAGTTGAGGGCTGTAGAGCTGATTTTGTCGAGGATCTCCTTGATGGTGACGGTCGGGAAGTACCCGTTGATGATGATCAAGGGTGCATCAGTCAACATGGTCGTAGCAAACTGTGTCAGAAGCTGCCGTTTCGATCCGTATCCGTAAATGAGGAGGTTGAACCCCGAGACGAGCTCAAAGAACCACTGCGAGAACTGTTCCTCATACAACAGTCTCAGCATCTCAATCTCCTGGGCATGTTTGGCGGGTGCACGTTTGATGGCCTGGATGAAATCGGCATGCTCGAGGGTCGGCAGTTTAGAGAGGGTATTGTTGGAAGTTTTGGATTTCTGATAAAGGTCCAGGAAGTATCGCTCGGCGCCCATTTCGTCCTCCTCAAAGTACGACTTTTGCTCCCCCGCTGCCTCGGTGGCATCCCTTGCAGTCTCCTCTAGCATACTGTCGTTCTTCCTATGTTGGTGCAGCTCATCATCAGACTCACTCTCTTCCTCGTCTTCCTGTTCCTGATCCGAATCTTCAGAGACATCAGAGCCGTCATGGTTCATCATAGACATGGCCTTGGTGACCCGCCGCCGCTTGGCAGATCGCTCAGCCGACAGCCCCTCGTCCCCTACCTCCTCTTCCTTCTTCTCCTCCTCGACTTTGTTGGCCTTTGATCCTCTTGTCGCCTTTCCCTTCGCTGTTGTTGGTGCTGTGGTCGTGTTGATGGCGAGATTCTTTTGTTGTTCGATCAAATTCTTGAGTCCTGTGGGCTTGCGTTGCGTCTGGAATCCAAAGACCTCTCGCCCACGCGTATGTCTCACCGTGGGATCCTCCATCTCTACATCGCCGTCTTCGTCCTTGATGGTCCCTGCTAGTGATGTTCCCATCATAGATCCGATCTTGGCTGTAGCGCTTCCTGACACCATTGCCGTTGCCGTTGCCGTCGTCGCTGTTGTTGTTGTTGCTGTTGCTGTCGTCGTAGACTTGGCCGTTGTGGATGACGAAGATGACTGGGGTATAACTGTATTACTGACACCGGCTCCAGCTGCGACGGCTCCAGTAGCACCAAACGAAGTACTAGGCAAGAAAACATCCTGCAAAGCCGCCGTCCGCTCCTGATCCTCCTTCACACCTTTAGCCCTAGCTGCCAAACTATCCAACTTCTCAACCGTCAACCCCGAGGCCAAACTATACCCATGCCCCCTCCGCCTCTGACTCCTATCTGCTGCTGCTGCTGTTGTTGTTGTTGTTGTTGTTGAGGTTGTTGTTGTGGTGGTTCGTCCTAGTCTTCTTCCTACGGTGGTGGGCTTTTTGAACTTGATGGCTAGGGCGGCTTCTCGTTCTGCATCACGGGTGGAGACTTGGCAGATGATGTGGGTTGGGATCTCGTCGTTGCCTTGGTATAGGATTCGGACCATTTTTGCAGCCATTTGGGTCTCCTGTACTATGTTCCTTTGTCCGTGTTTCGTTGATATACCGAGCGGGTGGTTGGTGGTGGTGGTGTGGCGGTGGTTGAGTTTGGCGTTTTTTGTTTCGTGTGGGCGAAGTGTATTGTGTGTGCCTGCATCAAAAAAATGCAGTTTTATTACGATCCGAATACAAAACATCGTATGGGCTGCAACTGTAAACCAGAGGCGGGCGCTTGTGGGAGAGGTTGAAGATAGGTTTTTCTGGACGGGGCAAATTGAACCTCCTCTCTTTGGAATAATCAAAATGGTACTACATCCTGGCTGGATCATTCGGGAAGGAAGGGAGGGACACCCCTCCCATCGATGGGTTGAGGACCCATCCAACCATGCATCCGTACCATCCATCACTCTACCCGGCACCATTACCTCGCTTGTTATTCAGGAATCTACTATCAACCATATCCAGGGTTATCGACATCATCGGCAGTCGATTTTAAGCGCTTTATCGACTATGAGCCGGAACTCTGTCGTTTCGAAGGCATAACTCGGTTAGACAGGAAGACCAGACTGCGGGAACGCCTCTCGTCAAACGCAACAACACACTCAACACCGATACTTGACAAAAAAAAAAGGAGAGCGGCTTTTTTCATCGATGAAAGACACACTCCAGGGGGGGAACTGGATGCATCTGACGGGAAACCGATGGGTGTAGAAATCCACTCTGTCCATGGAGGAACTCTGCATCAAATCCTGACTGTGACCCTCGTTCAACAGACACCTGCAGCGCACACCATCACACCCAACAACACACCGGAAAAACAAACAACTCGTCTACCCCCTAGCCGACAAAGACAACCGACCATACGTCTTGTTCTGGCGTACAACGAAAACTCCAACAGGCAACTCATAGCCAGGAACACCCTTCGTCAGACTGTTCTAGACGAGAGAGAAGAGGAGAGTGGGGGCTACTTTGATCCTGCACTTGAGCAACCAGGAAGACATGTTTCGGTGAAGACGTGGCCTTGAGGGGACGACCTTTGCCCAATTGACAGCGACAAACGTCTATCGATCGGGCTTACCAGCAGCTCTCACTATCATGGCACATTCAAAAACAAAGCGGCAGGAAGCAGGAGTTACCCACATCTGAGTCTACAGGACACACAAGACACCCCTTCTCCAAATCTCCACACATCACGCAAACGTTCAAGATCCACACGACTTATCACGTCCTCCCCCTTGTCTATTCCCTGAACCCCCTCTTTTAGCCTTCCAACAAGTCGTTTATCATCAAGCGCAAGCTCGGAAAGAAGCAGAAGCAGAACCGCCCTCTGCCCAACTGGTGCCGCATGCGCACCGATAACAAGGTACATCTCCTTTAACATTGGAAGCGCCTTTTCTGCCTAGGTGGCATTCTTTCTTGCATACTTTTTTTTTTTTTTTTTAGATTTGATCTAGCTAAATACTAACATTATCTTGTAATTTTTTTCCTCTTTTCCCCCTCAATAGATCCGTTACAACGCCAAGCGTCGTCACTGGCGCCGCACCAAGCTGGGTCTTTAAATACTTTGCTCGCACTTGTACAGCAGATACTGGGAAAAGGACCATTCTTCTCTCCCCTTGTGGACCTTTTTTCAGTCTGTTACTCATAAAGATCTCGCGTTTGTTTGCGTTTTGAAACAAAAAAACAACTTCCAATGAAACCATCAAAAAACATCAAAAACTTTGTGCATGCTACTGTCATGTTGAAATGACAAAGATAGCCGTTTGTTTTCTGAACAAGGAAAGCATGGTTCCGAATATCAAAATAAGAGGCTGAGTGGAATGTATTATGAAAAGCAAAAAGAAAAAAAAAAGAGGGCGGAGGGAACCCTAATACAAACTACGTGGCAACTTTGGACATTGGGGGATGGAGTTGGGTGAGGGTGGGTGTTATGTTCAGTTGTCCATTGTGTTATTTTACACGGACACGTATCCACCTCCTCTGGCGCGTCCTGTAACTGAATCCCAGACGTGATGAACAACATCAACCACCAGGGTGGGGAAGTCTCTCCAGAAATCTATGCGAAAGCAGGTAGAGAAAACAACGATTAGTTTCAGTAAAAACGAGTCAATGAACACAACACACACAACGAAAGCATTGAAAGTTACCCTTGTGGGGAAGGAGGTCGAGTCCCTTGGCACCATAGACCTGGTGGTTGTACACTGCGCCGAGGACAAGGTAGATGAAAGCAAATGAAAAGAACACTGTCAAGAACACGCTGAATCCGCTCATGCTCTCCTGGACAGGCAACTGAAGGTGGACACTACAAGTTCAAGAAAAAAAGATGAGGCATATGTCAGAATCGAAGGCTCATCTCTTCAATATCTCTAAAATCCTGAGGGGCCGTTGACAAAGGTTTGAAGCGAGAACTAAAAAAAAATGACTTACGCGCAAGCAGACTTGTGCTTCCATGAGAAGCTCGCCACTCCGTTCTGGTATCCGGTCAGCGTAGGTGCAAGGTTATCATCGGTCTATACGAAGTAATAAGAAAAGGGTCTTAGTCCTGGTTTGTCCCCTGTTGTCTGTTCCTGTAGTATCATATCCTGAACACATCCTGTTGAAAGAACAAAAAAGCCTCCCCGCTTACAACTGAAGCATCACAGATAAAGGTGATAACGGCCGACTGGTCCTGTCCCTTGATCAATCCTCCCTTCAAGGTCAAGGTCCATGGCACTATTCAAGATAAAATAGGGAGAACGGGCAAGGGTAAGAATTGGGCACAAGGGTATTACGCCAACGTCATGGACACGACAAGGATACAGCACGCCAACGACAGCAGATAAAAAGGAGTGTGTCCTCGTTCCATGACCCCTCTTCATCGCATACCAAACAACGATTACAATAACAAACAACGAAATAATAAGCGTACCCTCGGCAACGTTCTCAATCTTGTCGGCGAGGGCGGCAAGAGGAGCGACCTCGCGTGCTGGGATGCCATCTGCGGCGGGTGCAGTTCCGGCAATGGGCAGAAGGGAGAGAGTCTTGGACTCGCCGTCTTCAAAGATGACCTTTGTATCCTGGCAGACCCAAGCGCCAGCGACACAGTGCTGCTTGACCTCAGCGTCGGGGACAACAATAGCCTGGCAGGGGTTCACGAAATAGTCGACCCGCTGCTTATTAGGATATACTGGCGTATCCTCACCCTTGACCAGGTATGTTCTAAGAAAAAGAGGAACAGCCAAGGCCAATGGCGTCGAGCGCGCACGGTTAGAGTTGGGTGTTGTGTCGACTGAACCAATTTTTAACATATGAGCAGACAACAGAAGGTATCAGAATGAAAAGAGGGGAGTGTCGTACTTCTTCAAGGCAGAGATGTCGTAGGAGTTTCCAGAAACGGAGACCTTTGCACAGTCGTATGGGGTGGTATCCTGGGCAGAGACAGAGGAAGAGGTGAGGAGGGCCGAGATGATGGCGAATGTGGCCACCATGGCCGTGCGAGGACGAGGAGTGATCATTTTGATCCTGGTATTTGTATATGAAGGTTCTTGTTGAATGTAGTTAATCCTGAGCAGACTTGTTCCTGAGTTCGGCGTTTGTCTCGTCGGTGAGTTAGGGGGAGGAGGGAGAATGAGTGGAGTGGAGTGGAATGGAGAGAAAGTGATGGAAAGGAAGAGAAAGAAAGAAAGAACGAATATGAAATAATAGGTGGTTTGCCAAGACTGACACTCAGCCAGTGGACAGTGGACAGGAAAGAAAGAAAGGGACGGTCGATTTTTAGGGGTGATGAGATTCCTTGCACGTTATCCTACACAGCAACAACAGCGCCAACACTTGTTGTTTGCCACATTCAACATCCCTGGGGTGTGTCTCTTGAAGAAGAGAAGGCAATTGGGAGTATCTCTAACCCATGCCCATGATGCATCATGGAATGAAGGGTTGAATAGCACAGCAAAGTGCAAAACACGAACACTCTAGCACCAGTGCCCTGAGCCTTGAATATCACCACCCAGCGCATCTGAAGCTGTAGTCATCATATCGTCGATTGGCTGCACCCCTCCAAATGCTCCCTCAAATAGTCCCTAATCCTTATGAGGTACAGTATCGAAGGAGCTATCAATTGATGTCAGCGCATGGTACCCATGCTGCAGATACCGTGAGAAACAGCGGAAGTGACATAACAATTGATGCCTCCCATGTAACAATTGGCCGCTCTCAAACCATCAAACCATGGTCAAATAAACCGTCACGTCGTCGAAGGCGGAAAGGAGAGTTTTGTGTGAAAACACACACCTCTCTTAACACAACTCACTTCTCCGCCTTCAGGAATTCTCGGCCATGACAAGCAACAACAACAGCCTCGTCATTTCATCGGACAAGACCCACCCCGCAAACCTCATCCCCGAGCTCTGCCGTCTCTTCTACAAGGTCGGCTGGGTCACTGGCACCGGGTAAAGCATAAAAAGCTTCAACTTACCTCATTCGTTCAGCCAGAGATTATGCATTCATTCTCGGAATCAACTTCCCTTTTGACGGGGGCACAGGGAATATCAGTCAATTAACATACCTTCGGTTCCTAATTGACGCTTTATCACATAGTGGTGGAATCAGTATCCGCAAGGAGTAAGTTGTTATCAGGAATTCATTGCTCGCTGACTCGTGCTGGATCAATTGTCCACTTGGAGCAACCAGACTGACCATTTTTCGTTGTTTTTTTCCCCCCAACTTTGCTTCATTGTAGTGAGCATGTCTACATCGCACCTTCAGGTACAAAGATAACATTCATTGTCATGGAAAACACGGGAATGCACGTGCAGGAAGTTATCTCAATGGCACAGGAAACACTTACACTCACCAAAAAAATAACTGACGCCCCTTCCCTCTCCAACGTCACCGTTAAAAAAAATATAGGCGTCCAAAAGGAGAGAATGCAGCCCGAGGACCTCTTCGTTCTCGAATTGGCCAGCCGTAACGTACTCAGGAAGCCCTTGGTCCTGAAGCCCTCGGCCTGCACGCCCCTCTTCTACAATGCCTACACGATGCGCGCGGCCGGCGCCTGTATCCACACTCACTCCCAGCACGCGGTCATGGCCACACTCCTCTACCCAGGCAAGGAGTTTGTAATCACTCATCAGGAGATGATCAAGGGTATCCGCAAGGGCATGTCCAAGGAGAACCTTCGTTATTTCGATCGTCTTGTGGTTCCTATTGTCGAGAACACTGCTGAGGAGGAGGATCTTACCGACCGCATGGCCAAGGTTCGTCGCTTGTTGTATTATGAAGTGATATCGGACTGGACAAATGGGGAAAGTAGATTGGCTAGGAGATAAACTAACATGGCGTTGCCTTTGTTCTTAGGCTATGGAGGAATATCCTGACACATGCGCTGTTCTTGTCCGCCGCCATGGTGTCTACGTCTGGGGGGGTAAGCAGGATAGGGATTAGTGGCGTATAATTAATTGCATGTGTCAGTGCGTTTTGCTTCGAAAACCTATTAATTTGGATCTTCTCTGTGCCGTTCAAAAACAACAATAGAATCGTGGGAGAAGGCCAAATGCATGGCAGAGTGCTATGACTACCTCTTTGAAATCGCCGTCAAGATGAAGAGCATCGGCATTGGTAGGTGACCTAAATTGAATGAAAAGTGCTCGAGCACAGGATGCTAGGAGCAATGAAAAGTGTTCACTAATTTGACCCCATTTTGCGACCATCGTTGTGTTTACTTTGTGAATAGACCCTGCCGAGAAGCCTGCCGACTCACCCTATTAAAGACCATGGTGAACGAGCAATTGCATTTCGCATTCAAACATCATATCGCCCATCTAGTTCCCAGCGTAGGAAAATAAAGGCAACACACTTCAAAAATATGTCCATCTAGACTTCGCCATCTGTTTCTGAGCAAAAATGGAGCTAACTAGATGTGTCCAGACCCTGATTCTTGTGGCCCATTCGTCACAAACAAACAAAGAGCACCTCTTGCACCTTATTGCAACGAACGTTATTTTTTTGTTCATTCTTCTAAGCACTTTAATAGATTCGAATAGGTATGTTACATAAATGGTTTTTTAGATAGTAGGTAGGGGGGTTTAGACGTGGACATGGACATGGACATAAAAAAAGGTATGGTGGGTAGAGAGAAAAAGGCACACTACCTCCCTCTCCCCAAAGCATGCAAAAACGTTTAACAAAAGACAGACAAGAACAGCAACTATTTCCTTCCCATCAAGGGAACAGTGAATAGTTCATGACCCTGCAGCGCTTTCAGGTTCATCTCTTCACTGACTAGAGAGAATTTACTTGCGGTACCAGGTGCTCTTGGGCTTGCCAAGGCACTCACCGACGGTGACGAGCTTCCATCCCATGGACTGAGCGTAGTCGATGGCCCTGGGGGCGAGCTCCTGGGCAGTCAGCTTGATGGTCTCGTGCTGGAGAATAATATCGCCGGCCTTGCCGTTGGCCTTCTTGATCTTGTCGGTGTAGACCTTGTAGCTCTTCTTCCAATCGCTCTCGTCTATTTAGTGTTACATGCCAGATGCAAGGGAGAGGGTTAGTTTATGCAGTGGCGAACCGACTTTGGGTTGGCTGGGGACGCCGCTTGAACCGACGAGGGGGAAAGGATAGAGTACCAGGAGACGAAGGGCAGGTGCATGAACCGGTAACCCATTCGTCCCCATTTATGAACATTCCTCCAGCTCCTTCTCACCCACTTTTCCTCATCAATAATACCACATTCATCGCGCAGTAAACAAAGCAATTGAGGAAAAACTTACGTTGCCAATCGTTGGTGTCCTGGCTCCAAATGACGATGGTGTACTTGGCACCGATGGTCTTGGTGACGCGGTCGTTGATGCTTCCATAAGGAGGACGCATGTAAGTGGGCGACACACCGATGATCTTCTTGATGGCAGTATCGACTATTATTATTTTATACGCAAGGAGCGGAACCCGGGGATGAAGGGGGAGAAGAATTAAAAAAAGGAGAGAGGGAGAGGGGGTTGGTTGGTTAGAAAAGGGACACATGGAGCACGTTTGGGATGAGTGAGATACGACCCCGATATTTGAGGAGTATGAACAAACAAAAAGTAACAAAAAAGCGGAGCCAGGCCTGTCCAAGTAGCTCAAACAAACAAAAAAAACTCCGGGCTCCCAAAATGGTTCAAAATAGCGAAACACACAAGAACAAACAAGAAAGCATTCGCGAAGCAAACCTCAACAAGTAAAAGAAAAACTTACGCTTGCTCATTTCGGTGTTGATCTGGGAAACGGACAAGGTAGTCAAATCCTTATGGTCCCAGGTGTGGGAGGCGATCTGGTGTCCGTCGAGGTAGGCCTGCTTGACGCCGGCGGCATAATCGGTGATCTTGCCGTTGTTGTCACCGTTGATAAAGAAGGTGGCCTTGGCCTTCTTCTTATTGAAGAGCTTGACGAGGTCGGCGGTGTAGTTGAATGGGCCGTCGTCAAAGGTGATGGCCATGGTGTTGGGGACGGTGCACTTGTAGACGAGCTTGACACCGGTGTCGGCCGCGGAGACAGCGCGGCTGAAGACAGCAATGTGGTCGTTGTCACCGTTGGTGGGAGTTGGGGCGGCGTTGATGAAGGTGGCCGAGAAGAGCAACACGGCCATAGCAATGCGGGCGATGGGAGCCATTATGAATGATTTGTTTTTGATGCGGAAGTGAGTGGAGTGGAAGGGAAGGATGAATGCAAGTAGAGTGTGAAGAGTGAACTAAAGTGAGAGTGAAGATGATGAACAAAAAAGAAAAGTGAAAAAAACGGGGAGGCCGCCGCCCTTTTTATACAATCGACCAAAGGCACCTCAACTATCAAACAGGTACCATTGAATAACAATACAATTGAACAAGGACGAAAACGAGGACGGAAGAAAGAATTCGAGGAGCCACAACAACACACAAAAGCCAGACCACATGTTGTTGAACAAAAAGCACCGCAATGGCTCACTTTCATCTCTTTGTTGTTGTTCCCTTTGTCGGCGCGCTCTCTCTCTCTCTCTGTCGCTCTCTCTGTCTCGTACTCTCTTGCCGTTATGTATACCATGGTACTACTTTTTTCCCCCCTCCTTCTCAATTGAACCTTTGGGAATAACGCATTCCGCCCTAACTTTCGACCACTTTTTCTTCACCTTGATAGTGAATGGAAAACGATCCAGAGATGTTTTAGCGATGGGAACGCATCGATTGTTAATGCGGTATTAGATCGTCCACGCAGTGCATACATCCCTCTCCCTCGTTGCTGCCAACCTCACATTAGCCACTCAACCAACAGCCTCCCCCTGCGATATTATATCCTTTATCCCTGAATGGAAAAATAAAAATCAGAAACCGGGGACGACCCGAAACAAAACCAAGCGGCTACTGCCCCTGTTGACCCCAGCAAACAAAAATGGGGCTGAGCTGGAGACATTAGAAACCACTCATTGACGTCAAGATTGTGTTTAAACAAAACAAATAAAACAAACAACATTGCTAGAAACCCTCCTGGAAAAAGTCATGACTGATCATCCATCATCCTTTTTTTCTTCTTCTTCTCATTGAAACCGGCTGACGGTACTCCGCTTATGCGTGTATGAATTTGTGTGTCATTGCACCATAGTACATATCTCTCGTTCACAAATATAGCTCTTCGAAATACACAACTGCATAGAAGGGCTTGGTGGAAAGGATGGGAATCTGATTTGGAGTAGTTGTGCTCAAAACGTTCTAGTGCGATTTTAGTTGTTGTTTTCAGAAAGGTACAGTACCACACCCCTATGCTACTCCATAGTTTACCTGGTTTATGGGTTCCAAAACTTCCAAGTCTAGAACGAGGCACCCCCTAAAATTATTTGATAAAGCACAAAAGCAACAACATAGAACAGTCGGTCTTGAGAGCACTGTAGTCAAAAAAAATAGCAACCAACCACACGCGTTGCTCACTCACGACCGCAACCATGAACTGCGATAGAGATACAACAAATCAGAAAACGACTGCCCTCCTTGCCCCCAGGCCATCTATTCTTACATATGGGTAGTGCTGAAAATAAACCCTCTTCCTCCTTTATTTGCATGAACAAGCTACAGCCTGCCAGTCAGACGCGCAAGCGAAAGGTGCCTGGACCCGTCATACACGGCAACGGTTCAAGGGGGAGCGTTTAAGCGTAGCAATTGGTGGGTGATCATTCATCAAAAGCTAAAGGCAAGGATCTATTTTGTACTAGGGAACATTGTTTGGTGGTGAAACCCCTGCAATCTCAGATGCCTTGGCTGTTCCACCACCAGCAAAGATGATCAACTGTCGACACTCTTTCTACGTTTCTTACAATGCGCCCCTACATTTTCCCTCAAACTCTCTTTACAAAACAAATCATCAACTCTTTCCTCCCTGACCCCTCCTCCTGCGGAAATAATTGCCTACTATCCAATGGTTCCCCCTGCCCTGCGCCCATTGAAACAGTAAAGTCAGACTTAACAAACAAATGACCCCTCCTCCCTGTATGTGAATTTACCAGGAAGCTTTCGAATCTATAACACAATTGCAATTGTCAACTCCACACTCCTCAAGTGTTCACTTTTTATCGCTTTGTTCCGAAGGTGGGTGGATGGAAGTTTTGCCATGAAACAGATTCTTTTCTTTTCGCATTCAGCCCACAAATCAATTCACAGCTTTTATTCTCGTCATAGTACTCTTTCATCTCATTCCGCTTCGACTGCATATACGCACTTCAATACTATACGTAACTACCGGCGAGGGGACAAATAGCTATCTCTCGCGAAAACTAAAGTCAGGGGGTTTTCATTTTTCCTCTTCCTCCTCCTCCTCCTCCTCCTCCTCCTCCTCACTCCCACCTACTTTACAAACAAAAGAAAAGAAAAGAAAAAAAAATGAGCGCCTCCCTTCCCTCCATGCATGGCTGTTGAGCCAGGTATAGTCGACACGAACAAAGTGAGAGCACTTTTTTTTTCTTTTTTCCTGAAGGAACGTGAACGACCATGTTACTTATTTGGCCCTTTTGGTATGAGTCGAGGACCTGGAGCAAGTGCTCTCAACTTTTTTCTTTCCTTTTTTTTTGCCCGATTCGTGGACGATCGGACAAAACGGACTGATGAAAACGAACAGATGCGTGCATGTGTGTGTGTGTGTGTGTGTGTGTGTGTGTGTGTGTGTGTGTGTGTGTGTGTGTGTGTGTGTATGTTTTGAACTTTGCATTTACGTATCTTGGACGTACCGTACCCCCCGGCCAGTTTAATTAACGAGACGCTCAAGAATAGGTAGGGTGGTATCACAGACTGTGAGCGTGGAGACAGGTACATGGACAGGGACAGCACTTGCACTCACTCGCCATTTATAAGAAGATCGAGGCCCCTATCCTCGGCTCACTTGTACAGTTCACATGTAACATCTTGGCACAAGGTAAAAAACGAAAGAATTGAGACACATTGATCTTTTGTATTAAGAAGAATGGCAAATGTAGATGACAGTTCTAGATGGATGTATGAAAAAAAAAGTAAATGAAGAAATATGATGATGGTAGATGACAAGGGGTATGAGATGAGGTACCAGGTAAGGATGTGTAGAAAGGGTGCAAGGGTGTAAGATAAATGAAAAGAGTGGGTGTGTGGGTCCGTGAGTGCTGGCTCCTTTTCTCACGGACATTCAAAAAAAAAAAAAAGAGGCGGCATGGACGAGGACCCTTGCCCCTCCCTGTTAAAAAAATAGGTGGCTATGGGTTGATATAATACTATCCGCGCTAGCCCACCGTCCACTTAGTCACGGTACCAGTTATCATTGTCGCCAAGACACGACCCGGCAGGCACGACTTTGAATCCCTTCGCGAGGACATACTCGATCGCGAGCTTGGAGAAGACCTGGGCCGTCAATGGCTCGGCATCATGCTGGAGACTGATGAACGACTTGCCCGTCGTATCACCCTGGAGCGCATTCTTGTACGCCTGCAAGTTCAACCTGAAGCTTGATGGCTATTGAAGGGGATGGAGAAGAGGGGGGAACATGCGCAGCGCAGAAGTATGTTAGGCATGCAGTATCCAGGGTGGAACGTGCTAAAAAAATAAGGCTGAGAAGAATTGAAGAAGTGAAGGAGGGAGAGGGAGAAGAAGGGGAGATAGATAGATAGAGAGAGAGAAAATAATAACACGGAGGTTTGCCCTGATTGAAGGGATGCATGCACAAAAAAGGATGGGAGAACAAAACAATCGAAAGAACACTTTCGTTTCTCTGTCTCCCTTGTGGCACGATACATGTATAGTTCCTTGGCTTGCATAACCCATTCATTCAATCGAAACTGCAAAAAAAAAGACGAAAAGTGACGAGAAGTTGAAGAAACACAAAAACAACAAGAGGGCAATGAAACTTACGTGCATCCAATCGTCCGTGTCGACGTTCCAGTTAATGACCTTGTAACCATTGGATCCCAGGTACTCGAGTGCTGCGGGCGACGTGTTTCCGTAGGGGGGTCGCATGTACACAGGCCGCTTTCCAATAAGCGCCTTCAGCGCAACATCGACTATCAGGTCCATTTGAGAAAAGTCTCAGGTACATCAGTAAGACAATAGAGACAATGCATCTATAGAGACAATGCATCTATGTCATTGAGTCGTAACAACAACGCACACGCCTTTACAGGAACCAAAACAACACAATGCGTGCATGCATCTCTCTGAGAGCACAAAAGAAAACTAATACTTACGCTTGTTCATTTCGCTAGCAATATCAGTCGTGGCAAGGGAAATGTCGGCATGGGACCAGGTGTGGGAGGCGATCTGGTGTCCAGCCGCATAGGCGCGCTTGATGGTCGCAGCGATGACGGGGTCGTTGATATCGTTGTAGTTCAGTCCATTGAGAAAGAAGGTGACCTTGATTTGCTTGGCGTCCAAGTAGTCGAGCAGCGCGGGTGTTTCTGTGCCAGGACCGTCGTCAAAGGTGACCGCAAAGGTGCCGGGAACCGTGCAGGCGCGGATCACGGTTGCGCTGGCGCGTTTGTTCAATGCTTGGAGTTCGGCGGGTAATGAGGGTGCCGGTGCTGGAATAGGCGAGGCTAGAGAGGAGGGGATGAACGTGCAGGCAGCAATGGCGGCGGCAGCCAACAGGTATTTGCGGAGCATGGTTATGGTCGGTTAGGAATATGGTGAGAGGGGAGAAGGATGGAGAGAGGGGAAATGGAAAAGGGAAATGTTGACGAGGAGGAGGAGGAGGAGGAGGAGGAGGAGGAGGAGGTGTGCGATGAGAAAGGAAGAAGAAGGTTAAGAAGTGTCAATTCAGGGACCACAGCAAAACAGAAGCAATTGAGGTTTTTATAGAACGACGTGGTGTGAAAGGAATCTTCCACCGCAGAGAGCCTTAAAGGAAGCAACCAACAAGCAAACAACCCCGAGAAGGGAGTACAAGCCAGTAGTTCTTGATGGTTCAATTGCACGCGTGTTTTTTATCTCTTGAATCGGAAGGAAAAGAAGCGAGCGGAAGCAAGGGATGGTAAGGTCACCCACCACAAGGAGAGATATGCAAAAAAAAGAAAAGGGAGGGGGATGAGGAAGGAAGGGGCCAATGGAGTCAAGCTTGAGTGAAGGGAACACAGAGTGAGGGGTACGTATACGTATGTATGTGGCCACACCGACGGTGTCAATTTGAGACTAAGGAGACAACCAGGCAGGTCAGGTCTTCTCAGACGGTGTATCTCGTGGTGAAGAGGAACTAAGGGATTGAAGGTATTGAAGGTTAATGGGTGCCTCTATTCCTGTCTAGATAGCCATGTCACCCTTTTCTCTCCTCTCTCTACTCCTTGAATGCCCCTTTCATTCACGCATTCAGGTTTTGCAATCTTGAGTGCGCACGATGAAGAAGAAGGGCTGTCGTCTCTAGTACCAAAACAGACAAGCACAAGCAGCCTTATTGCTATCATAGTCACCTCGTCATGATTCCCATATTACCCGGCAAACAAGCCCAAAAAAAAAAAAAAAAAAAAAAAAAAACGCCACTCGTCAGCCCAACAACCTACTCTAGCGAGCGATTCCATTCTCTCCAAGCTGTCAAGGTTTACCCAGCCAAAGGCTTCACTTCTTTTACTTCTTTCACTTCCTATCGCCTGGCCCTGGTTCTTATGCACTATCCCTTTCTTCATACACTTGGAGCTTCTTCTTTCTCCTAGGTTATCTCAAAGACGCGTTACATGGGTGTATGGGGAGCATTCTGATAACCGTAAAGGGCATCATTCAAAAGAATGCATTGGCTCATGCCCTTTCCCCAATTCTTTCCTTCTCTACGCCTTCTCTCTCCCCTGAAAAAAATCATTCGGTCCCAGGATGTCTCTTCTTAGCTACTTTTGAATGAAGAGACAGGGCGCCTTTAGAATACCTAGAGGGGCATCTGTGGGGGGGGGGGTATTGTTATCGTCGCCGGGGCTTTTCCTTTTCGTCCCCCCTTTCGCGGTCAATCACTGCTTCTGTACAGCACATCCGATCAAAGACGACAAGTAGCCGAGTTGAACTAACTCGATCAACAGCAGTTCGAGTCTGTTCCCCTTTTTTTTTCCTCGCAGAATATGATGTTCACAAACAGAACAACCACAGTATAAACGTCATGACGGAAGGATCGAAAGGAAACCGAGAGGTGGACCCTGAACAAAAACATCGAGCGTTCTATTCTGGCCCAACAAAGTAACGCAATAACAAAGGAAATAATCACTTCTCTCGCCTCCTCAACACTAAATCTTGCTGCTTCGCCCGATAGCCTTATACTTCTCCAGCAACTCATTAATCTTGGCTGGCGCATCGACATGCTTGATCCCGTGGACATTGTCGACTCCCTCGGGCCATCCGACATAGACTGGGTGACGACTGCCCTCTGGGTTGTACTTGAGATCGTCACCCTCGGGGTTTCCTTTACTAAGGGAGCTGCCACCGTCGACTTCTAGGTTGACGCCGTTGATGTATGATGCGGCGGGGGAGAGGAGGAATGCGACTGCTGCAGACACCTCGGATTCAGTCCCGTAGCGACTTGTTGGGTTCTGGGGAGTAGTAAGGAAAGAAAGAGTTGTGTGATATATCGCGCGCGTCAGTTGGATAGGGTTTTTATCTGCTGCGAGCATGTTGCAGGGTGATGAAAAAAAAATATACTGAGATCGTGACTGCCACTTTGACTTACCATCCAGTGAGAGTGTGCAAGGAGGTCGACCATGGTCTCATGGTAGTTCTTCATACCCGAGCTGATAATAAGTCCAGGCGCCACACAGTTGATCCTGATGCCGTTGTAAGGACCCCATTCGATCGCCAACGTCTTTGTCATGTTGATGATTCCTGCTCGAGCTGCTCCCTACGTTTTCCATAAAAGCGTCAGTTAGTGCACGGTGATCTTGTGAAGTACCGAAGCTCACAACATGCAAAAAAAATAATATATGAAACAAAGTAGGTTACCGTGTGCATGGCTCTGGGGATACCGTTCCTGGTTTCGGCGACGATGGTGACAATCTGACCCCCGTGCTCGCCCATGTACCCGTCAAAGGCAGCCTTGCACATATTAAACGTCCCATTCAGGTTCAAGTCGACTACAGTCGAGAAGCCCTTGCTGGTCAACTGGCTAGCTGGTGACATGAACTGACCACCCGCATTGTTCTATTCAGGAATCGAGAAAAATCAAGAATGAATAATAGCAAGGTAAATGTCCCATGTGAATATCTTTTCAAGTAAAGACATAACGAGGAGGAGAGAGGAGAGTAAAAAAGAATGGTTTACGTACAACAAGTCCGTTGAGCTTGCCATGTTTGGCGACAATATCCTGGATGACTTGGGTGGCCATGGCGGCATCTCGGATGTTGAGCAACATGGTGTCACAGTTCCCGCCCAGTTTCTGGATCTCGTCCTGGACAGTCTTCAATGGCTCGATCTTACGAGCTGCAATGACTACGGTTGCTCCCAATGCTGCCAACTCGTGTGCAATGCATCTTCCGATGCCTATTAGCATTAAAGTGAACAGGATGTTGGACAAGTTGGCGATGGTGTCCTATATCAGTTGAGGTGCAAAGAGAGACAGAAAGAAATGGGATAGCATTGTTGGTTTACCGGTGCCTCCGCCTGTGACGAGGATGACCTATCCTTTGAAGAGGTCCTTCTTGAAGATCGATCGGTATACTAGTAGAAGAAAAGATACTGTTGGGTCAATTCTGTTCTTACTCAGTTACAAGAGTGTCACTTTGAGGGAGCATACTTGACATGAGGGAGCGCGATGAAATGTAAGATGCAAAGAGTCGAATGATGAGGTGAGATGTATGACGATGGTTGAGGAATGGGGGAATGAGAAAAGAAGAGAAGAGAGAACGAGAAAGAGAGAGAGTGAGGTTTACACTTTTTGGCGCGGTTCAGCCAACGATGTTCATTTCCTCGCAACCGACACAGACAAAAAACATAACAGAACGCTCGGCTGGCAAAAATACAATGTGTTCTTCTTGTCTCCACTAGCTCGTTCGCGCAATCTTCTTTTTTCGAGTTTTCTACGGATCGGGCGTGGCACAGACGCGTCGGAACACCAATTGAGGCAAAGGACGTTGACCCCAGACTGCATTCGTTTTTTGAGCGTGCGAAATAAAAAGACTCGCCGCCGGAGCATCTCCCATTCCTGACCATGCATGTCCAAAAAGCAATTGAACTTTGTAAGTCGACGCGAAAGAGAAAACCGTACCGTGGTCAATATAACACAGAAAGCATGCTGTTGAGAAGTTATTTTTATTTACACATCGCCGGCTTGCTCGATTAGTGTTTTGGGTGTTGAGACAAAATATGTTTGGCAGCAAAGGGCGATGGAGGGTGGTCAGAGAGTGGCATGAAAACTAATTTACATCTTGGCCTTGGCGTTGCAGATGGTGACGAACTCAGGCTTGAGGGAAGCACCACCGACCAAGAAACCATCGATGTCCTCCTCCTTGGCGAGGGTGGCGGCGTTGCCACCGTTGACGGAACCACCGTACATGATACGGGTGGCCTCGGCAACCTCAGCAGAGACATTCTCCTTCAACCAGGCGCGGATGTTCTTGTGAACCTCCTGGGCCTGGTCAGGGGTAGCAACCTTGCCGGTACCGATGGCCCAGACGGGCTCATAGGCAATGACAACGTTGGTCCAGTCTGACACGTGCTTGGCAATGGCGGCCAACTGACGGACGACAACCTCAGTGGTCTTGTCGGCCTCGCGCTCCTCCAGCTTCTCACCAATGCAGGCCATGACCTTGAGGCCGGCCTTCAAGGCGTGGGCAACCTTGAGTCCGATCTCGTCGTCGGCCTCCTTGAAGATCTCACGACGCTCAGAGTGGCCGAGAATGACCCACTCGATACCGATATCCTTGAGCATCTCGGGGCTGTTGTGTCGCAATGAATTGAAAAGTCATCAGGGTGATCCGTAAGTGGCGACAACGTCGGGAAGGGATCATTGAAGATGAAGGAAATGGTAAAGATAGGTGGAACAGGTTAGAGTCATCATTCAATCTTGCACTAATCCGACCATCTGGAAAATAAACTCCCCAAAATAAAATGAAACCTTGTCTGTGGTACTTACGCGACCTCTCCGGTGAAAGCGCCGGAGGACTTGGAGTAGCAGTTCTGACCGGCAACAGCGACATCCTTGCGGACGGCCTTGCGGACCTGGTCCAAGTAGACGAAGGGAGGGGACACAACGATCTCTGTTCAAGGGGACGATATGCGGAGCAATGAGAATCGACGAGCGGGAAGAACAGGAGAGATAATGAAAAATAATATTGAGCAGTGACGTTAGTCATAAGTTGGCGTTTTCTTTCTTATTTCATTTCACAATTGACAGATCGGATTCACTCTCACGAGGCAACGGGAAAGAGAGAAAGAGAGACAGAGAGCAAGAGCATCCGGGAAGCCATAACGAGCATGCATGCATGTCCAATAGGTTTCAAATGACCGATCCTTACCGACGTTGGAGTCAAGGTTTCCCTGGTTGAGGCCCTCGACCAAGGTCTTCAAGGACGACTGAGAGCCGTTCAACTATTATCAGTTGATTGAAGGTAAAGGGTTAGAATAGTGTTGACAGTGGTTCAAAAGGCAGGTTGAGAGAAGGTGTTGAGTGATCAGGGTAGGTTGGGTTGTGCACATGACGTGACATTGACGTGAAAGTGTTCATGTGTCTGTGCAATGAGAAGAAGCGAAAGAAAGACGAAGGAAGTGTGTGGGAAAGAGTTTGAGCTGTTTGCGTACCTTGAAGTTTCCGCCGACGATGAACTTGCGAGGCATGATAGATATATGTGTTGGGTGGTGAGGGGTGAGGGAGAGTGGTGAAGTGTGAGGAGTAGAGGAAGGAAGAAAGAAGAAGGAAAAGAAGCGAAAGATTGTTAAATAGCGTGAGAAGGATTCGGTCACGTGCAAATATGCAAGAGATACAGTACAATAATTGGTTTCACACCCTCGATATGGGACTTGCGATTGCAATCTACATTGTTTGGGACGCGCCCTTCTTCCTCTTGTCTCGTCGATAAACAACAAAACGCCGCCAAGAATCCCACCCACATCAGGAAACAACTCTCGCATCTCTCTTGTCTTACAGGAGCGAGCAAGAAAGACAGCCATCAGGCACCGCAAGAACCCAGAGGAATCAAACTCTCCCCACTCCCGCTCAATCACTCGCCGCTGCTGATCATGAACAACGACGGCAATAAGACCCTTTCGTCTCATGCACTTAAACAGCAACGGACACTGCCCTATGCCCGACCTACCAATTCCACCAACACCAGTAACACTGCACGACAGTCGCCACTGCTGCAGCGGCCTACAGGGTCACTGAACCGACAGCCTTTGATACCTCAAGCCAGCAAGCAGGCCGAAACTGTCCCTGTTAATGATTTAGTCCAACTTGCCAGGAGTGCGTTCTCTCAGAAGGATTTCGCTGCTGCCCTGCAGTTCCTGACGCGTGCGCTGGCGGTGGTGCCCAAGGATATCAATCTTCTCGACAGTCGGGCTGCGTCTTATGAGAAGCTCGGTCAGCTGGACAAGGCCCTCGACGACGCCAAAGCCATGATTCGGATATTTCCTCAGAACCCAAAGGTGAGTGATAGTAGTCACGATCTATGCGGTATCTTATCTTTGCAAACGATTGAACCTTTTTTATTTGTTGGGAGCTACATACTCACAGAACGCGATTGTGTTCGTTTTTTGTTATCAATTTTTTGTAGGGATATCTTCGTGCAGGAAAGACTCTGAGGCTACAGCAGAACATCAGGGCAGCCACAAAACTTTATGTTGCTGGCGTAGAGCGATGTACCAAGGGATCAAAAGACTACGAGGTGAACATTTTGACCGTCATTTGTGGACATAATTAATTAATCGCCTAGTTTAGCCATCTGAAAGCAGCATTGCTAACTGGCTTTCACTACATATATACTATAGACACTTGAACGGATGGCTGCCGAGATGGCCGTCAGGCTGGAGGAACTGATCAAGGTATTGAACGTCATTGCCATGAGAGTACACTAATCCATGATGTCAATGTCTAACGACCCCCGTCACTTTACTTATACATAGAGAGAAACACGCGTTCTGGACCCAATGGATAGACTGCCGTTTGAGTTGATTATGGCCATCTTTGACAGTCTGACATTCACGCAGCGGGTTCGGTGCTTGACCATCAGCAAAAAGTGGATGACTTATCTAGGCTCTGTTCGACACTTCTGGTACTCTATCGACCTCGCCAAACGCGTGCCGACAGCAGTCCGACTCCCCGCCCACGCAATGTTCATGCCCACTCAACTTGATGAGGAGCCCAACAACAAAGTCACCAACAAGACTGTACTGCAGTTGGTCAAGTATGCCCCACCCAAGGCGCTGTGGCTCGGATGTGCGCAACAGATCACCTCAGGATTGCTCTCACAACTTGGCAGGGCCAAACGAGCTGCGTCATTGGAAACATTGTCGCTCAGGATGAACTCAAGGATTTACGAGCAAGAGTTCTCACAGTTCTGGTCATTCACCCCCAGACTGCGTGTTCTCGACCTGCATGACTGTTTCGGAATGATGGATGGTGCGGTAATGTCGGTCATTGAGCGTTGTCCCAATCTGGAGGAACTGGACATTTCAGAGTGTCGGATCACAGAGGCCTGCGTGATGAAGAACTGTAATGTGCCTCTGCCCAACATGAAGAAACTGGTCATTGGTCGGTGGGAGACGGCGTTTTCCAAGGAGGGGATCGATGCGATGGTGGAGCGGTTCCCAAGCCTTGTCACGCTGGATATTCGAACGATGAGACCAAAAGGGATCGAGGCCCTCGAAGGTTTATCCAAATTGACGCAGCTGAAGCACTTATACACAAACTCTATCGAGACTTCGAACGACGAAGCGGTCATCTGGGTGTTGCAGCGTTGGGTTGAGGGGATCCCTCACCTGGAGAGTCTGCAGATGCCGGCCTGTAAAGGAGTTTCGGACGCGACCATCCAATTGATCGCAGCAGGGCAGGGAGAGCCTGGATCGGACCGTCGCGGTTGGTCAAGCTCACTCAGGATGCTGGATCTCAGTTCTTCGCCATATCTGACATGTCAGAGCCTCTCGTTCTTGGCAACCCACCCTCTGCCACGGCTTCATACTTTGATCCTAAGCAGATGTGGACGCGTCTTTGAGCAAGGGTTGTGCCAGGCGATCTCGAGTTGTGGCAGTGAACTTGTTCGAATGGAGTGTGCAGGTTACATGAACGTGACAGACAAGGTGTTCCATACGATCAAGGACCATTGCCCTAAGATTGAGATGGTGAACTTGTCAAGCTGTGGGAAGGTGACGGGATTGGGACTGAAGGCTCTTGTAAATGCACGTGGACAGGGACTGGAGCGAGTCTGTGTTGACAACTGTCCAGCGGTGTATCTGGATGCGGTGGAGTGGGCGCGGACTGTCCTGGGCGATCCTTCGCGGGTGTCGTACATGTTCAGTCGTAATCAGCGATGAAGATTGTCTGTTAACAAATAGGATCCACTTGTAACAATGCTTCTATGGGAGGATGTTTCCATGTATTCCTGAGTGCTGTCTATCATGGGCATGCGGGCAAAAGAATGCAATCTGAGCCTCGAAATTTGTGTCACCGTCATCGCATTCACGATTGAGTTCCCTCCCCTTTAGCTGAAGGAAGCAAACGTAACGCGCCCCCTGTTTTCTTCACACCACACCACACCACACCACACCACACCACTCCTCTATCACGTAACTCGACTCAACTCTCGCCACTTTATTTTTTGTCTCCAACGCATTGGCTCATTCACCCTTTCATTCTTCAGACACAGACACAGACACAAACACACAAACACATTCACCCAGCCGCGCTCACATTCTTAACATGCCCTCGGGAAAAGATGCCAGTAACGACGACAACAACACGCCACCACTACCAGCACGACCAGCGAGCGCAGCACTGGCTCTGACACTCAGCTCCAATAAGGACAAAGACGACGACAGGGTCCAGCAGGACAAAGGTGACAGCCTGCGTGCTACAGCTATCGATCGCCCAGAACTAGGTTCTGCCGGAGTCGGAACCGCGGACAAGGTAAATACGTAGTCGACGTGGCTGTTGGTAATGTTTCTTTTCTTCTGCTGGCTGCCGCCTGCTGCTGTTATTCCTGTTTGTGCGTCTTGGTTGTCCTTGTCGACTTGCACCGTCTCAATTGTCGGAATGGGGTCTTGGCAACAGGGGTTATTGTTGTGTCCCTTTCATTATAGGGAGAAGGAGAAGGAAAAGGAAAAGAAGGAAAACAAGAAAATGCAACAGCCCAACAGCCCATGAACTTTTTTTTTTCTGTTGTGTGAACCATGATCCCTCGCGCGTGTGTGCGTGTGTGTGTTTGTGGAAGCCAAGCCGAAGGCCAGCGAAGAAAGCTAGCAGGAATGAAATAAACACCAAACGACTCTCTGACCCTTTTTGTGTTTTTTCCCTTGTTTCTCTATTTTCCTTCTCCCCCTTTCCATTTATTTTTCGCATTCTCTCCTTTTCACACTACCACGACTCTATAACCCAACGACAACAAAAATAACAATAACCAAAACATCGCCACGCCGTCGACGACCAGCAGCAGCAACAACAACAGCAGCAGGGTACAACCTCAGACAATAGTAGTAGCAGCATGCCGGCCACCGATATCAACAACATCATTTACCATCCACAGTCAGACTCCCAAGGCTACTCGCCACCTTCGCCCGTCTCCACCAACCCATTCAGGCGCAGCCCCTCGGTCTCACCCCCTCTCTCGGCCACTCCTTCCTTGACCTCTCGCCCCCCTCTACAACTCCCCGATGAAGATCCCTTTTCACTTTCCGCTGTAGCAGCGGCACTTGACCCCCCCGCCCTACCCACACGCACATCCGTAACAACACAACAGCAACAGCAAGAACAATACGAAGAAGTCTCCGCCTCGTCCCTCGTCCCACCAGACCTGCCTCCTCCACCAGCTTATACCCAGACCGCCACTGTGTTGGATGATATGGCTTCGGGATTCTCGGGAGTTGCCACGTCAGATGCAACCTCAGTGGCGACCCTGTCTCCAGTACCATCGACCAACACATCTGCCCCTGCCACCGCTATGCCAATTGGCTCGGTACCTGCAGCGGCAACAACAACAACAACAACAACTACTACTACAACAGGCACATCTCAATCCAGGACATCCTTGTCAAGGGAGCCAGAACCAGTGAACCAATACGTTCTCAAACCCGTCGACTGGATTGATCCTGCGACAGGCATCGAAAAGCGCATCAAGATCATCACACAAAATGGTACGATATCACAGGAGGATGTGAGAAGTCGACATAATTTGAGCATTAGTTCGGTTTGTGCTTTTGCCTTTTTGCTTTGCAACTGATGCCGAAAACCAACTGATCATTATGTTTCTATTATAGAGAATGGTCCATGCCCATTGCTGGCCCTGTGCAACACGCTTATCTTGCAGGGCAAGGTTGCCATTCGACCATACGATCGCCCAACCATTGGATACGACCATCTCCTCGAACTGTTGGCAGACTATCTCTTGAACGAGGACCACTCTGAGTCTGGGGCAACTTCCTCCGCGACAGGACGTGTCGGTGAACATGTCGAGGCTGAGAAAGTCAAGTCCCGCCTTGAAATCGAGTCGGCCCTTCGCCTGCTGCCTCACCTGGAACATGGATTGGACGTCAATGTGTATTTCAAGTCAATTCGTGGATTTGAGCCGACTGCAGAGCTCGGGCTTTTTCATACATTTGGTGTGGAGCTAGTGCACGGATGGGTTGTCAGTCCCGTGATCGATACCTCCATGTATACCTTGGTGGATGGACCCGCAGGAATCACGAGCTACAACAAGGCGGTAGAGTGTATCGTCAGTGGAGACGATGCAGGTGGAGGACTGGTTGTCGAGGACTTGTCGGGAAACATTGCGGCAATATCGCCCTCCAACCGGTCTTCAGTGCGCACTCGTACGACAACAAGTGGATCGGATACTGTTGCAATGAACGAAAAGATTCGACAGGCATTGGTAGTGCAGGAGTTTATGAACACCACCAAGACACAGCTGACGCACTATGGACTTCATGTCCTGCAGGAGAGCTTGCCCGAAGGCCACATCTGCGCCTTTTTCAGAAACAACCATGTAAGGACCAAGTCATATTTTTTTGGTTTCGTTGCATTTTGCATCCTGCAGCTTTTAGTCACGACACGGAAGTAATTTGATACTAATAATTCCTCATGCAATTATACATATAGTTTTGCACACTTTTCAAGAACCCGATGGACGGCACCCTTTATACCCTTGTCACGGACCAGAGTCTGGCCCATGAGCTTTCCATTGTTTGGGAGTCGCTGGTCGATATGGACGGAGCAGGAGATTTCCTGGACGGACTCTTCCGACATGGTGCTCTGGAGGTTGGAGACTATGCACGCAACAACCAGCCACTTGAGTCCAATGGTACCCCATTAGGTGACGGCGGTGGAGACGAAGAGTAAGCCTTGTGAATTTGTTTTTTTTTTACTTTAAACACAGGAACTTTATTGTCGTGACGCTAGGGTGGTATCTAACCATGCTTTCTTTCCCATTCATTTCGATAGTTTCGCGCTAGCATTGCAATTGCAGCAACAAGAGGAAGAAGAGGAGGCCAGGCGAGTTCAAAAGTCCAAGAGCCGCTCCTCTCAACAACTTGCACCCAACAATAACAACAATAACAATAACAACAGCAGTAGTAGTAGCAGCAGCAACCGCCCTGCTCAACATGGGAACTACCGCCTGAGCCAGATCAGCAACTCCAACAACGGAGGCACTTACCTCTCGCTCCAGGATCAGACATACGAGACAGACGAGCAGATGGCAGCCAGGTTACATCAGGAGTACCTCGCCAGTGACCAGCAGCACTTGCAGGCGCAACAGCAGCAGTACCAGCAGATGAGTACTCCCAAGAACACGCATGCCTATCCGACCTTGCCGCCAAACGGGGATCTCTATGCCAATTACAATAGTAATGGTGTCCCCCAGCATCTGTACGGTCAGTCGCCCCAGATTCAGTATCAGCAGCCTCAAATGCAACAACAGCAACAGCTCTACCCACAGATGCAACAGCCTCAGATGCAGCAGCAGCAGCAGCAACAACTACAGCAACCACAACAGCAACAGCAGCAGCGGCCTCATCAGAGTGCTCAGAGCACAGCCTCTGGACAAGGCCATAACCGTCAGCGGGTCCCGAGTGACAGCAGTAGCCGAAAGAGCAAGGAGAAGTGCATCATTCAATAGCATTTCCTCTCTCTCTCTTTGTCAAAGCCTCTCCAACCCTCTCTGTCTATCTTTTTCTCTCCCTCCCCTCTCTTTACTTGATATGCTATAGCCAATCTTCCAATTGTGTCAACTAATAAAAAAAAAAATACTCGCAAGTTTGAAAAGTCACCATGGTTGATGTTTTCTAGTGCAGACATGTGCTTTATTTATGAAAAAAGAAGGATGAGGGGAGAGAGAGGGTAGTTTATGTTAAGAGAATTTTATGAGGGAATAGGTTTACTCGGCAGCGGCAAGCTTCTCCTCGGTCTTCTTCAAGCCCTGGTGGTAGTCAAAGATACGGTAGAGCTGGGTCAATCCGGTGGCGGCGACAAAAACGTTGACGGTGAACAAGCTGTAGTTCTTGGGGATAATGACCAACGAGTATCTCGACCAGATCAATCCAGTGGCAGCCAAAGCTAGTTTTATGTTATTGGAGAGAGAGCTAGATGTTAGACTGGCGGGGAGATACTGAAAGGAATCCATTCGTTAAAGTCCATACAGTCCACGTTTCACGCCCCTTCTGCTTCCTGATTTCCAGTGGGAACATGTCAATTTTTCAATGATGCTTTTCCGATTCCGGTGATAAAACAAACACTTACCAACGTTCTGGGAAAGGGACAAGTTCTCAGCAGGGCGGCTCAAATCACCAACACCAGCACCGACCAGAGCCTAGACGGAAGAACAATCATAGGAAACGCAAATACAATCGTCAGCTTCTCGGTTTTTCTGGTACAAAGACGGAACGTCCTTTTCCTTTCCATATATTTTTCTTCTCAGATATCGTCCAAGAACACATTGCCATCCTGTGCGCATGAACAGGGTATAAGCATGAAGCTTGGCCCTATAGAATGCGACGTCCTGTAATATCCTGCTGATTTGAAACACGCAGACACAGCCTTGGCGTCAGATACTGCAACCCAGTATCGCAATTCCCGGCAGGCCTCTTCTCCTGCTGTTTGCTCCTGATGATGTCTTGCTGACGAGGCGGGTTTCGACGTATCGTCGCTCCCTGTAAAAGTTCTTGGTCTCCCGATCGCCCGATCGAAAAGCCAAAAGCATCCCTCCCCCCCCCCCCCCTAAAATGCGACAGTTGGCAGCCGTGCTTTCACTTTATCATTTCCGGGGATAATAACTCATCTCGCATCAGTGACAGAGTGCGTGGTGTGTGAACGTACCCACTTGGCAGCGGGGGCCCAGAAGTGAATGGTCTTGGGACCTATTTGCCATTAGAACGTTTAATAAATAATAATACGTTAGGAAAAAAAAAACGGTATCTTTCCCTCGCAAAAACCTGTCTGTGTCATCATTGGTTCTGTGAGAAAAGTTGTGCCGTGTGTATGTTTGCTTCTTTTCTCCGTGGGGGAGGAGGAGAGGGTGGGAAAGAAGGTTGTTGGTATCGCAATCGCTTCTCGGGGTCTCATTCTTGCATCAGACCGGCCAAGCAGGGTTCTCTTCCTCTTCTTTTTTTGCCCTCCTTTGACAACAAGATGATGTCACTCCTGTGTGTATGCTGGAATCCAGTTTGTAAAACCCAACGGTCCATCGGCATCCTTGCCCCGTTGGGAAGAGTCATATTATTTTCCACTCTTTTTCCTCCCGGTATGAGACGCTGGCTGTCGCATATGTATCCGTCTACGAAGAGAAAGGTGGTGATGCCGGTAAGAGGTGGTAGCATTATTACCAGCGGGGTGGTTCAAGAACTTTTGGAAGGCAGATTGTGCGACGACGGGGGCTGCTGAGGACATGGCTGAAAGGAGTGTGTGAAGGAAAGGAATGGGGGAAGGGAGAGCGAGAAAAAAAAATCGGGAAAAAGAGCTCCCACCCCAACATTGTCATCTTATCGCAGCCAGCTGCGAGTAGTGAGAAAGTGTGACTGTCATTCTAGAGTTGGAATCTGTCAATTTGCCCGCTTGCAAAATATGATAGATTGCTTGCACAGGCAGAACATGAAGGAGAAGGGAAAATAATCCTCGTACCCGCCCGAGCCCTCCGGCAATCTCAGGAACGAAACGAAACGAAACGCACGCGAATTCTATGCATACCTCCCATAGCTCAATTGATGCTCTTCTGTTTCCATGCGCTGTTTTGCTATTTTTTACTCATATCACTAAAGATGGAGAAAGGATTCAAGAGCGTCGAAGACCAGACGGCGCAGAGACAGGAGCTGGCTGACGCTGTCCGCCTTGCAGCACAGGAGGGGGAGGAGACGACTGCGAGAACGATTGTCTACCCAGCAGACTGGCTCGAGACCCACGCGCAGCCAACGACCTAGGAGGTCCACTAATCGGATTACCTCCCCCCATGACCGACGCAACAGCTGCCAATCGCATTGCCGACGTAGTGCTGGCAGACGACAGTCTCCTCTCCGGATGGTGATAGTACACATCACTAATACCTTCCACCGCTGGGTTGCGTTTGGGCGCGCTGTTGTTGTTGCTCTCCAGATCCTCGGTCGCTCCATTAGCAGCTGCTATAGTCGGAGACTCGGGACGACTAGGACCTCCAGTCACATCGCTCGAGTTATCGTCGTCCGTGATCAACGTCTCAATCGCCCTTGTCGCATCCGCCACTTGCGGCAGCGCACCACCACCGCCACCAACTCCATTACCAGCAGCACTGACAGACATGGTTCGATCACGAATATCAATAGCCTCAGTACTCGTCGGACTGACAAGATCCAGATCCTCATCCTGGCCTCCGCCCGCCAAGTTATCGCCTTCGTCATACGTCCGAGGTTGACTTGCATCCAGGATCCCCGCAACACGGCTACCACTGTTCTCTATCCGAATCTCCCCATCAATCAATACAGATTTCCGCTTGCTATCAGGTCCGCCTCTAGCACTGCCCTTCTTAAGTGGCAACCACAATGTCGGGAGTGGCCCCGCAAACGCTGGGTGTTGATAATGTCGCATTCCAGAGTTCAAAACGCCCGGGTACAGTGTCATCGGCGGCTGTCGGTAATCCGTGAATCGGTCCGGCATCGCCTGGTAATCATCTTCGTCCACTACACTCTTGGGCATCTTGCGCTTCGACCCCCCAGGCGTAATGACTGCTAGTCCTCCTGACTGGGTTCTTATCTCCGCCACGTCATTACTGACACTCAGCTGTTTCGGCGCCGCCACTCCCGCCGCCGGTGGTGCTGGCTTCTTGTTCGTCATATCGACCGCGATATGGCCGAGACCGTTACTGCCAGGAGGCGCGATCTCAGATCCTAACGCCGCCAAAGATCCATTGTTGTTGCGATAATCATCCAGATCTTCCTGACCCTGACCCTGACCCTGACCATGCACGTCTTCAAGGTAATCCTCAAAGTCCTCATCGTCCTGGCGAGGTCGCATGAGCTCCAGAGGGATATGGCGTGCCGTCAGATAGTAGGCGTTCGTAGTCCAGTACCAGAACCAGACAGTACCTGCTGGCAAGGGGGCCAACAGGATGCCAAAAACGTAGGCCTGCTTCAGCATAAACAGACCCAACATGGTCAACTGGAACGTGACCAGACCCAATGTCAGACGGTTATAGACCATGGGCCAGATCTGGCCGCCAGATTCGTTGGGGTGGAAATAGACATAGAGGAGCTGATACTTGAAGACCAGGTAGCCGACCGCAAAGTAGATGACACCAAAGACGAGGATCATGGGTTTGATACAAGAGTAGATCAAGATGACCACAAATGCCAACGTCGCGTTCGAGTAGGCAACACCATAATGGAGCTCTGGTGGGGCGCGGGATTCGGCATAGTCACGAGGGGTCCTGGAGAACATCTTCTGGATGGTTAAGTTGACGATATCAGCTAGCTGAAGCAGCTGCATCGGGAACAGACCGATACCTCGAAGGATGGTATAGTTGATGAAGAAGGGAGCGACGCGTGGTAAGGACTGGGCCAGAAGGAGAGCTAACTCTCCGACGTTGTGGTAGACCTTGTTAACAGCCTGAGCCCAAGTTCCGACAATGGTGAACACAAGGACAACGTTGAACAGGATGAACATAAAGTACTTGTTGTAGAGCGACCGGGCAATCTCCGAGTGTGATTGAATCCCCTGTTGACGACAGAGCGAGAGCAAGATCCTGGGCACGACGGCAAGGAAAATGATGACACCGACTGTGGGGAGGAAACCTTGAATCAGCGACTTGAGGATCGGACTCATGTCAGCAATTTTGGAGATTCCTGGAAAGATCCGGTCGAGAGAGTCGAGGTTAAGGAAGGACGAGAACACACTGACGGGACCTGCCCAGAAGAAGATGAGCATAAAGACGATTGCGTTGATGACGATCGTACGGACACCGAGCTCGCTGGGAGGGAGGTTGAGGTTGTCCCAGTAGACATCACGAGGCTCTGGGGCCATAAATGTCTCGCATGTGAGTGTCTCCTGCGTATTGACAGTCTGCGCCAGAATTTGCTGTTGTATCATAAGATGGGGGACGAAGGGGTTGGTGTTTAGTGGCGCATCTTTTTTTTCTCAATGTTTAACCGAGTGATCATCTTGATCTTTGAAACACAGACACAACGTTGATCAGTGGAACTTACTGCAGCGTGCATCTCCTCAAAGGTAACAAAGCCGATGCTAGTGGTCGCATACACGCGTGACATGCGCATCTTTTGTACAGCCTTGTCGAGTGTCGCAAACACCTCCCGATAATGATCAATCTTGTCGACCTTCCTTCCAAAGATTCCCATGAATCCAAGTCGCATCGTCGGTCGCTTCTTGATACTACTCGCGCGCACAAGACTGTATCCTTCATCAACGTCTACAATAGAATCCCGGTTGGTTCCCTGACCATTCTCTACCTGATGATCATCCGCCGTCATATCGTTTTCAGCCAAGATGGCATCAGGGTCATAGTCCGATCGTCCTGAGGGGTTGCCGTAGTATCGAGTATAAGTTATCTCCAAGTGCCGCAAAGCATGAGCTCGCTGCTCAATCAATCGTTGTAACGTCGTGACGTGGCGGCAGACATGGGCACTCTCGACCGTGCCCACGCCCAAAGATTCATAAAAGGTTGCCAGTGCCCAGTCGCTCTGCAGATGCGCTGGCAATCCAACCACCATGACTGTCCTATTCACAGTGGCTCTGCGGCGCTTCAACAGGTAGCGCCGGCGGACGGCGATGTATCCCTCGTATGTGTGCCAGATCGAGTAGAGGGTCAAGAGAGAGAATATCCAGGTGAACGTAAACTGGGTGAAAAGGTATATGAATGAGGTGCCTGGCCGCGGCAATGAGCCAGGAAGGGAGGGGTCGTCATCGTCGTCGATGCCGTCATCTGGGTCTGTCGGTAGTCGTCCGTCGTTTGTTGAGTAGCTGTTGATGGGCCAGACGATTAAAAGCCCAGGCACGAGGCATATCGCAAACAGTTTCAGCGACATTGTGAAGAATCGCAACATCTATTTGACAGCAACAACAATCATTATGTGAAAGAGATGAAGATGTTACTGTCTCCGTTTCCTATGCATACGCGTTTGTTCAATCAAAGATTTCTTATGGTCATAAAGGTCTGATTATTTTATGACTTCTTACCATAGCAGCATCCAGACCAACACAATCCAACACTTCGGATTCTGGGATCCGTATCAGTTGAGGGATCCATCCAAAGAAGGTCGACGAGAGTGGTGGAGGCGTGTGTCTATGTTATGTAATTTTTGTTTGTTGCACATGGATGACGAAAAGTGTAACCACGAGGGAAAAGATTATTAGTTTCCTTTATCTCTTCTGTGGAAGGTGTCTGGGCTGCTGTTTTTTCGAGCTTTGTCGCATGAGAGAGGACTACCACACAGACAATGTCATTCATGCATGCACAAACTAAGCATAAAGTGTATTATTCAAGCAAACACTACAGGTTTGCAAGCCTACCTTCGCAGCTTTGTGCGGGGGGCAAAGATGACAGTCCACCGAGTTCGCAGAAAGCAGAATCCTAGGAAAGAGCTCAGACCAATAAGTGTCGAGATGGCTAGCTGAGTCTTCAGACCCGTCGAGTTGTTGGCTGCCGGATGACCTATCGGACAGACATGTGAATCCCGCCCCAATGGAACGTGTATTCAATGTGTTAGTGGATTCAAATGTGCGAGTTAACTCCTTTATGCGGCACATCGTTTTCGTAAGATGTTCGAGGGAGAGTTGCTGTTGTTTTTTTTCCCAGGAGGAGTTGATAAAGCTGATAATCGCAACTCGTGCAAGAAAAGGGGGAAGGGAGGTGGGCTGTAAGGAAGGGAACGTGGAGACGGAGCCCGGTTCACCCTTTGAAGATCATGGAGAAGACCGCCGACGCAAAACTCAATAAAGTTGTCGGAATGCATTTAGCAAAGAGAGAGAGAGAGTGAGAGAGAGGTGGGGCGAAAAAAGATGGCCTTGATAACAAAATGAAAAAAAAGTCCGTCCAGTCATCGTCCATGTTCCCGTTCCCGTCTGGGTAAGCTGCCAGAGTCTGTGCTGAAATATGGTTGAAGGGACATGGTGTGGGTTTGGTGGTAATCGTAGTTACCTGGTACCATCGTTGCAGCTTCCACGTCCGAGTCGAAAATCGCCGACCTATTTGAGTAAAGTATTGAGAAAAACAAGTGTTGTCCATGAGTGACCCATGAGCAGTAAGGAGGAGAAGAGTGAATGTCTTTGCTTTTATTTCTCATGGGAGTTACATGGGACCACTCTCGAAGAAGCTCTGAGCGCTTGCCATGGTGGAGGGGATGTTGTGAGGGAAAAGAAGGTGTTGAGGAGGAGGAATCAGGCGAATGAGTAAGGAAAGAAATGAAAAGAAATGAAAAAAAGAGGATGACAACAACAACAACAACAACGTGAAAAAGGGCACGACTTCTGGTACCCAAGCTCAAGGGTGATAAAAAGCGAAGAGCACTTTGACAAGAAGGCAAAAAAAAATCGGGCTAATGGCAATTGAGAGGAGAAGGTTGAGAGCCGTGAACAGGAAAAAGAGAAGGTGCTGCTGAGCAAAATGAGACTGGAGTAGGGGGCGTTGGTCATGGAAAAGATACTCATCCCCTTCTTCTCAACAATCTCTCTCGACAACGGAGAGGAGCAAACCCTTTTTCATTATGCATGATGGTGGGAATATTCATGCGCGTCCATGCCTCGATCCATCTCTCCCTGTTTTGCTACTCGCTCAATTCCAATCTTGACCTGAGAAACAACACACGCGTGGTGTCAAATGCCCCCCTTTTTCCCATTAGCCTACCCCGAAGCATTGTAGAATAAGAGAATGAGTCAAGTTTATATCGAAACGTACAGTGGAGGGGTATCAATGTCTAGCTTGGGTTCCTAAAGAAGCTGCCCGACCGCCCAGTCCTGAGGCTTATCTGCTCGGCCGTCTCGACGGATGCCTTGGACCCACATCCAGATCGATCGACGACTCTGATCCATCACCTCCACATATGTCAACAGTCGCTGCACATCTGTCGTTGTAGGTGTTGTCGTGACGGCAATAGTAGTGGCGTCATCTGGCAACCGTGACGAATATCTAGGGATGACTTGATCCATGGGTATTTCGAACTGTAGCATCTGGTACTGATTCGTGAACGCCGTCCCAACAAACAACTTTTCTCCATTTCCTCCAGTCCTGCCGTCAACCTTGCTCGTCCTCACAGAGTCGATAGTCGAGTTACGTGGCTCAAGGGACAAGTATACGGCATAATGGCTGTAGTCCACCGGGGAGACTTCACCGGCGACCAGCAAAGACGATCTGTTCGATATCGATGCCCCCAATGCAGGACCGACAATCGGGTACCCGATATTCCAGGTGATACTCGACGAGACCTTGAGGACTGTCATTGTCGGACGGATCGACTCAGGCTGTTGCTGCTCATGAATCGACATATCGCCCAGTGTATGTTGCTGTTGGTTCTGAACCACAGACTCGATCGTAGAACCTGACTTGTCGTTCTTCTCGACAACCACAAACTGGCTCTTATCAGCCTTGAGTCCTTGAACACACGACCCCTTGTAAACCGCATTCCACGTCGGGACCACTGCCAAGGACCCAACAATCACCAACGCGCGAGACTCTTCCTTCTCAGGCGCCCTGGATGGAACTGCCTGACCCTCATACGTCAACGTGAGGCCGAGCTGGGACAAGAAAATGGTCGACAGATCATCTTGGCGCTTCTCTCTAAACGCGTCCGAGAACAGGCTGGAGATGTGAAGAGTCAGTCGACGCCACCCACCCTCAAGGGTCTCGATCGCATCCACAAACCCGCCCTCCCCCGGAGAAATGTCCAGCGCAAGGACAGTCTCGAGTTGTTTCGACCGGTCTGTGCCTTCGATCGCTCCAAGACTCAGGAATCCCTTTGTCGTCTTTGTCGATGGTGGGATTGGGATACTTTCCCACTGCGCCTTGATGTTAGGCTCCAATACCTCCAAGAGCTCGTGTCGCGAAAGTTTGCACGCGATAGTTGTCGAATTTCCACTGTCATCCTTGTCCTGCTCAGCAGCCAACATCCCAAGATGCACTCCGACTTGAACGTCACTCTGGCAGGACTTGAACACCAATTCGACAGTCGAATCGAGCGCATTCAACAGCGAGATCTGGGTGTCAAAAAAGGGTACAATGATAGATCTTGTCCTAGTCGTGTGAACAATATCGGCTGTCCTCAGTGGGGTCGCGTCGTGGATTGTCGGAGCGTCCTTGGGTTCTTCACGTCCAGGTGGGAGAGTAGGTGGCGACTCTGGTGGGGGTGGGATAGGCAGAGGTGGGAGGGGTGGCGTCGAGCTGTCCAGACTAAACTCTTGGACAACAAGGGATGTTCCACCATTGTAGGCATTTTCAGGAGACAATATCCACCGAACGGCCTTGGGAGTACCTGGAAGGGGTAGTGCATCGTGTCCTCTCTCGATCGAAAAGACCTCCTTTGACAGTGATGGCGAGAGCGATTGGTGCGAGAGATGCGACCAAGCTTTCTCAGATACTTTCTATAAACATCCCACGAAGAAAAAAAAAGGAGGTTTGCAAGCAAGTCAGCTCAATGTAGGAAAATGTACTCCAGCGAAACATACACAAGAAGTGTCTATGTTACCTTGCCATTAATCCAGAACCCGTTTCCAAACCCGCGATCAAAGTTACTGTAGAACCACGTTGCGCATCCTGAAGGTCTCAAAGGGATATACGCTGAGACTGGCAGAAAGTTACTGTTATCCTCTTCCTTGTCCTTATCCTTGTCGCCATCACTCTTCTTCTTTCGCCCATCCTTCTTTGGTTTTGTGGCAAGCATCCAACAAGTCGTCAAGTAGAACGACGAAAGAGGAAGGTTCTCGGCATGGAACCCAGCACCATTGTATCCTGTCCAGAAGAGTCGATCGTTGGTCATGAAGGCGTCTTTCCCAAGAGACTCGTATGTCCATGCGGGGGCAAACAGCGCACACGAAGTGCGTTCACGCTGGATGATTTCCAGTGCCTTGTAGGTCGTGAATCCTCCCCCACCAAATGTGTTCCCTAATTATTATAACCGTAACATGCCAGTGTGAGTCCCTCTGTGACGTGTCCATTTGGTCCCATGGTTACATCCATGCGGAAGCACAAGTTGGGAAATTGACCACGAGAATAGGTACTTACGTCCCCAGATGTCAATTCCTGTGTACACATCACGGTTACGCGGACCTGCCAAGGCCACAGACTCGCCTACAGCTTTCTCCTGCCACGTATAGTTCGTGAAGATACCTACGACCATAATCGAACAACGCCATTGTGTTAGCTATGTCCATACCATTGTCTTGAACAAATGTGAAAAAGAATTCTAATGCTTACCATCGGACTGCTCAAAGAAGCGATAGTTCTCAGGACTAAGCTTATCCTGCCATGCAATCTCGCCAGTCGAAGTAATAACACTGTCATACCAATGCAACTCGCCCCCAGGGATCCTCTGATGAATCTGCTCCCGAAAGTACTTCAGAAACGCAATCGTCTGGTTCACCTGCTGAACACCTCCCCTCATAATACTCTCAATATTGACAAACCACCCGTCAAACTTGTAATACACTGCCAAATCCACCAGCTTATCAGCATAGGTCTTGCTAAACCATCGACGATCGACCGTGTCGTTCCCATCCTCGTCCGCAAGGGTCTGATTCGGCCCGCTGACCATTTCGTCGTTTTCGAGGATGCCCGGTAACCATTCGGTGATGATGGTTCCGATGCTGCGGACGCCGTTCTTGTGGGCGGCGTTTGTCCAAACGGGAGGCGGGATTGTGATGCGGTAGTGGGAGAAGTAGATGAAGATGTCGACGTGGTTCCAGTATTGGATGCTGTAGATCTTGTCGTAGTCGTTCCCCTGCGGTCTCGCGTCCTCTGCATAGCCTTTGTGTTTGTTTCGCGTTACGATCAGTAAGAGCGAGACCAGCCAGGTTGTCAGCATGACTTTGTAAGTGATCAAAAAAGATTCGCGCCAATGGTCAAGTTTCAAAATAATATTCAATGCTCTTTACCTCCAGCCATATCATGGCAAACAATGACCTTGCAGTCTCGCAATTGAGCCTGGTTGCTCAGCCCAGGAGTAGTCTTATCTTTGAACTCTGACGAAAAGGACGATCCTGTTCGACGAGCAAAGGGTGTAGGCCGAGGATGGAAGGGCGTATGAGCAACATTGTACTCGTCCTGACCGGGCTTCCAGTCCAGCAGGTCCTTGAAGGTCTTGATAGGCGCGCTCGTGGGTTCTGTCGGTTGTGGCATGTAGACCATTCTTTGGCGAATAAGGGAAGGACGGGAAAAGGGCTGATGGATGAATGTTGGAAAGTTTAAGAGGAGAGGTTTTTGGTGGAAATGAGGAATGGGGAAACAGTGAACGAAGAAAGTAAGAAAGAAGGAGAAGAAAGAAGAAGGGGCGTGTGAGAAAAGTTGGCGACCGTTTATCGTCCCTGTCAGAGGACCCAGGGGCTATCAAACCTCGCCATGACTGGACGTGTTGCGCCCACTTGAGGCAGTCACTTTTCTCTCGCGCACTATTCCTTGGCTCGCAAAAAAGTGAACCTGTCTTCTTCTTCAGCATGCAAACCAAGCCTAGCCTGACGAACTCAGCATCGCCACCATGACCTCAGACACACACCAACATCAGCGATCAAGACTCTCGGCACGACTCTCCTACAGCAACTTTGAAGTTGCCATCAATGCATTCCTGCATCAGACACGACATCACACCCCCTGGAGTTATGTCGAATACTCTGTAAGAACCTGCAGTGTCTTCTTCTGTCACTGTGTCGCCATTCTTTATTCTTGGATCCGCTATATTAAACATGGCCCTATTTGCGTTGCCAATTTATATAGCCGAGGAGAGGTCAACCATTACAGGGATACCTTACACTGACAAAACTAGTCCACAGTCATCACGCCAGCTCAGGAGCACCCAGCACCAGTACCGGCACTCTCTCAACAGGAGCAAGAATAAGAACGATCGATCCGGCAGACCAATTGCTCCTAGACGAATTAGCTGAACAATTAGACGATATCCCTGACGGCGAGCAGGAAGAAGAAGCTGACCCTGTCGTCGAAAACTCAACAAGTACAACAACCTTCGACTACCTATCCGTCAACTACCATATCGTCTTTTCGCCGAGCTACCAGGTCCCTGTCCTCTACTTCAATGCCTACCGTCCAGGTAACAACAACGTCCTTCTTGGCCTCCTACACAACCTTTTCATTCTTCTTCCCAATAGAAGAGACGATAGTAATATATCTGCTCAAACACGATCGAATTACAAAAAATAGACGGGCCTGCGATCTCGCTGGAAGAGATCTACGAGTCGTTAGTCCCCGAGGAATGGAGGGGGGCAGTCAGGGACGCAGGATTGAACGGCGGTATCTCACAACAGGACCATCCAGTACTGAACACTCCTTACTTCTACATGCATCCTTGTGAGACTGTGCCTTTGATGGAAACCATCCTCCAGAACAACGGCAGTCCGAGTGGAACACCATTCCTGGAGAACTACATTGTGACATGGTTAAGTTTTACGGGGCAGGCGATAGGAGTCTCTGTGCCGACGGACATGGTAGCAACCAATGGTTAATAAAACACAACATTGAGCAAGGTAAACAAGATATGTTCGATTTGTCGCATTGGCGACTAGGTTTTTAATTTATTTACAAATGCAATTTTTTTATGAGTGGGAAAGTTGGAAGGAGTATGAGGGTATAGCTCATAGGAGCGTGTGTATAGTTGTAAGTAGGTTTGTTCCTTATTCATATCTAATCCCTGTACTTGTCCATGAAGCCAGCATGGAACTTTGTAATCCCCGCACAGAACCCATCAAACAACTCAGGCTGGGGCAAGAAGGTGCTTCGGAAGTGAGCAGTGCCCTCAACCTGTCCGAATCCAGACCCAGCAACCATACAGACTCCCGTCGCCTCCAACAGCGCCAGGCAGTAGAACTGATCGGGAGCCTTGCCAGCAACCTCGGCAGCAGCAATGGCCTTCTTGGGGAGACGAACCTGGGGGAAGAGGTACATGGCGCCGTCGGCAGAGTTGCAAGTGCATCCCTCGAGGCTGTTGAACATCTCCTCGAGCTTCTTGGCACGCTTGATGAGCGAAAAGTAGATGGCGTCGTATTCCTGCTTGTAGAGATCATACGAGGGGTCGCCCTTCTTGGGAGGGTTGACCATCAAGTCGACCATGATCTGGCCCTGGACGTTGGGGCAGAGTGAGATCGACGAGATCTTGTAAATCTCATTCATGATCGACTGGTCCAAGCCCTCGCACTCAAAGTAGCCACCGCGACGACCGCACTCGCCAATCATACCCTTGGAGATCGAGTGGTACGAGATCATCTCAAAACCCTCGTATTCGGCACCCATCGACTTCAACACCTTCTTGAACGAGTGGAAGGGGCGCTGCTCGGGCTGGTAAATGTTGGTTTGGTAGACCTCGTCCGCCAACAGGATCACTCGGTTCTTCTTGCAGAACTCGACAATCTCCCGCATGTTCTCCTCTGAAAGGCACTGTCCTGTGGGGTTGCCGGGGTTGATGATGACGAGAGCTCTTGTTTCGATTTTGTTCTTGGCCGCCTCGTCATACGATCTTTGAAGCTCGTCAGTCTACGAGAGAAGGAGGACCAGGTTAGTCATGTGCTTTGTACTGCAAGAAGAAATTATCCGTCTCCTATAAAGGAAATGAGAAACTTACAGTGAGACCCCATGCCTTGGACTCGTCAAGGTAGTAAGGCACCGGCTTGGCATCCAGAACAGCCAAAGTCGCAGTATAGAGAGGGTACTGAGGGATAGGGATCATGATACCGACGTTGGGGTGCTCAACAATCATCTGGAGCGTGAGCTGGACTCCAGCCGAGGCGCCCTGTGTCAAGAAGATCTTTGAGGGGTCTGCGGGGAATCCATCGCGGTCGGAGATGAACCGGGCTACGTTTTCCCGGATCAAGGGAATACCCTGGGAATGTGAGTAGGCACCGATGGATCCGATGTTGGCGAGGAGGAGTTTGGCGCGGTCAATCGCATCGCTGGCATAGAGCTTCAAGGCGATCTCCCTGTTCTCGTCCTTGAGCAGATCTGGATATTCCACCAACGAAGCAACCTGATCGATTCAAACGAAAGAAGAAAAAAAAGTTAAGTAAGACTTGCGCTCATAAACCATAAAATGTGGGGTGAACTATGACGTGGATATCAGGAGTGGGGTCATTACCTGACGGAAGAAGGTGATGGGCTTCTGGTCCAGGGCCTGGGGGTTTCCGATATTGCAACCGACCACCCGCTGGAAAGGGAAGGAACCTCCGTTAGCAAGTTCCTAAATGAAGAAAATAAAGAGAAAAATAAGAATGGATTGTCAGCAGGCGACCATAATACCCACAAAGTTCGATGCTTCGATGTGACGAGTCGCCGCGGAGAAGAAGAGGAGGAGGGACGACTTCTTTGTTTTTCTCCAGCCTCGAGCTACCAGATGAAGGTGGAGGCTACCACTTCAACTTATATCTTGAGGAGAGTTGTCCCTCTAATGCATGAAGGATCATGCGCATTTTTGATAAAGATACTAAAACTTACGACTTTGATCGCTTCGGAGCGGATGGCGAGTTCACCACGGACGGCGTACTCGGCCTTGCGGACGCGAGGGTTCATATTGCTGCCGGTGAGGATCTTGGCTGTGCTGGAGGGCGTGTTTGAGATGGTCAACATTGTTGGTTATGAATGATATATATGTGAGGTTTGAGTGTGGGTATGTGTTGGTTTGTTGTTTGTTGGAGAAAGTTGTCGGAATGCGAGTGATAGTGCAAGTCTGGTGAGCGCGAGTGCAAAGTTGAATGAAGAAGCGAAGAGAGGGAAGGTGGAGAAGAAATGAAAGAGCGGGGTGATGATGAAAAAGTCATGTCCTTTAAATAGGGCAAGTAAGTCCCTCAACCACAGGCTGGAACATTATAACACTCAGCCAAAAATCAAGGTTCCCTCCTTCTGGCGGTGACTTCAACTAATGACTTCATGGGGCATCCTCTTCGTCGCACTGCGCTAGTACTCAAAGAACAGCACTAGCGCCAAAAAAAATAAAAAAATGACCGCACTCGTTAATGCGCTTCTTCAATTGCTCCTTACGTTCATCCCCCTTTTTATTTCCCTGAACCAACTTGTTCACCTGCGTTATTATTGTTGATTGCGCATCTCATGTCGACATGAACAAAAAGAAAAGAACTTTAGAGATGAACAAGTCGACAAGACCGGACAATATAAAACGACTGGAGTGTGTTGTACTGGTTGTCGGTTAAATGAGCGAGGCATATTCTGTGGGGATGAATAAGAAAAGGGCGACCAAAGTGGATAGATTCACCCAGTCAGTCCCCGGCTTCTTTTTATCCTGGGTCCCAACTATTAGCGTCAAGATTCCCACTAGCATTTATGTTACTGCTGTACTTCACCTTTTTTTTTCTGGTTCCTGTGGTCGTTCTCTCACTTTCTTTTTCTTCCTTCCATATTCTTCCCGCTGCGGGCCGATCTGAAAGGAAGCGCTCGGGCTTGTCCGAAGTGTCCGTGTGTGAAGGGCTGAGAATGCTGTGGGTGAATATTACATGACCCTTGAACGGCTATATTTTTCAATGGAGCCGGGCACACAGACCCACAACGCTCTCTTTTTTTTTCTCACTCTCCATTCCGACAAGAATACCCCTCCTTCTGTGCCTTACAGAAGCCATTCGGAAACTCCGGGTCAGGAGTATTGTCGACGTGTCGTTGACTCTTGTTTTGCTCAATTGTTGTCAATTATCGGTCAACCCTGACCATTCCCCTTCTTTCTGCACACATCTTCCTTGACTTCTCTTCCGAAATACTCCATGCTATTTTTTTTTCCTCCTTCCATGCCTATTTTATTCAGGCACACGCACCCTACCCAACCCAATTGTGCGTCCATTTCATTTCTGCACTAACAATTGTCAACATTGTAGGGTGCACTAGTGCCGTCAATCCCTCGTCCGTCACTGGTGCCTTTCCTTCCCTTCGACTCTCATTTTAGTCTTGAAAAATGCATACTTTATCTCTCCATCTCTCTTTTTCTCGCCCTTTTGCAAAATGACCCGGGAACTAGAACTGGGAAAGAAAAAAGAATATTATCACTAGAAACCTTGCATGACAGCAAAGCTCCTCCCTTTCTCCTCTTCACTTGTCTGACACCTTTTTTCTCTCTCTTTCACAACGACATCATACCACGCCACCTGCCGCCCAAGCATGGTCAAATAAAACATGGATGTACGAGACAAATGCTCTATCCGAAATCCCCCTATTGCCTGAATAAAAGAGAAAGAGTGATTCTGGGACGTGCGGGGGAAGGGTTTATTCGATGAATGGGAGGGAAGAAAGCGGTTCCATGAACCTTCCGGGTGAAACCGTTCCCAAGTCGTAAAAAAAAAACGCCACATCTTTCTTCCTCTCTTTTCTTGTTTTGATGAGGGTTTAGGAATATGCACATGTGGCTAAGACATCCATGTATCACGGGAGGAATGAAGAGGCTGTCAAAAGGGCGAAGTAGCCCTCTCTCTCTCTCACACACACACACACACACACACACACACAACTACTACTTTGCATGTACCTCAATAAAGAAAATTGCCTCAAACCATCACATCCTTCAAAAAAGGACTACCGGACAAAGAAAAAGAGAGACAAAAGTAATCGACGTGCATATTGTGCCATTGAACCATGAACCACATCGGAAAGTGTTGGGGAGGAAGGTGGCCAAAGAAGTAAAGATCCTCCGAAAGTGAAGGGAGGGAATTGACCGACAACCCTTTCTGCTGACGTCGAAAGGCGATATAAGCTGTCATTGGCACACCTAGACGAAGAAGGGGATTAGATGAGGTGGGATCGACTGTTTGCTCTTTTTTGGTTTTTTGGGGGAGGGGTCCACGTTCATTCAACGTAACAAAACGGCGAATGACTATTGCAATTTTGCTTTTTCTTGGGCTCAAACTGTGAGAAAAGTCTTGCGGCTGGTCTTGTTATTGTTCGTCCTAAGGAACTATCCTAGGAAAAAAAAATGGCGTAGCACATGGCGATCTCAGATCTAGGCTAGGACAGTGTTAGACGCGTGTGCCCGTGCCGATGCGATGCGCGCTATTCATATCAACCTGCAGGACCTATCAGTCCAATTCTTGACCTCTGCATACCTGGGTGCTCTCACAGGCTGTTTAGGGTTCCCAGTCCTTCTGTTTTCACGGCTCCCCTCTTCGATTCTTCCCCCCACTACGCACTTACCTATTTTTTGCTACTTCTACCACCCGCTTGTCTAGAAGACAGCCTTCCGTCGGTAAATGCATCATAGACCCACATAATTGTTTTGCCGCTCATATTTTTAATGAGTTGCAGCACGATTTTGGTAGAAGAAAGGAAGGGGTCGGAAGGAGGAGTTCAACGTTTTGCAGATCTTGTAAGCAAAAAAAAACCAACTCAGCTCCCTCCTTCCCACTCTATTTGACTCTCCTTCTATGTGTCTCTCTTTCTCTCTCGCTTTCTCATTCTCTCTTGGCTGTTCGAGTTCAACAAGAACACGCTTGCTCACAAGCTCAACCCCATCCGCCCATCCGTCACCAGCCCATTTTCCTTTCACCCACCCCCACAAAATCACACGCAGACACAACACACTAAACAAAGCAGGCTGTACCTCTCCACCGTCTCGTTTCTTGACGGCTGAGGACGTATCCACTTTGCCATAGAGAGGGTGAGGTGCACTAATGGGCTGGGCTGTCAAGGAAAGTGCTCAAAACAGAGAAAATAGGAGTTTTGGACATGGGGCATGCAATGCACAGTTACACAGTATGCATACCGACCCGTCCCCTTCCAACCACCGGCCGAACCAACGGACGACAGAGCGAAGGACCCGACAGATTGACAGAGAAAAACATTGGGGACGGGATCTGAAATAAAAAGATGTTGATTCACACCAACCAGGTACAACCAGAGATGTAGAGTACCACGAAGAAAAGAAAAAAAAATCAAACGACTGCGCTGACGTCTGGGCTGAAGGGACCAACAACAACCGTGGCGTCAACGGTTTGGAGAACCATCCAAGAGCACCCAAGAAAAAAAAATGGGGGAGACAGAGGAAGGGGAACGGACGGATTGGTCGCTGGTAGAAATGAGACCAATATGTGAGCCCTGGTAAGATGAACATGACCGGCAAGACACGTTTATTTTTTATATTTTTTTTTTTGAGAACAAGCTTGTCGAAGGTAAGGGAAGGAAAAAAAAAACAAGGTTCATGGAAAACGGGATCTCGAGTTACAACAATCGAATTAGGAAGGCAAGCGTGATTGAAGAGGTGGAGATGTGTAAAATGGGTACGATGGTACTGGTTCGTTTGCTGGTTGGTAGGTTGTGTTTGGGACAAGTAGTTGGGGGTAATGAAAAAGAAAAAGTGCTACAGTAAGTAAAATTGCGCTCTGATGGTACTTTTTTCAATGTAGGCTTTGTCAGCCCTCAGCCCTCCTCTCACCTTCCTTCCTTCAGTCAATTGATAGGTGTACTACAGCAGTGGTCCACTCACTTCTGTGTCCTGTACTAATTTCTCCGTTCTCTATTTGGTCACCTTCGCACTCTCTTTTTCATACTCCTGCTTTCTGGATAACATTTTTTTTCTCAACTCTGTGTATTATAATCCAGACTTCAGGTAAGGTTGAAGAAAGTTCCCATCACCACCGCCAACACCACTCCTACCCTATTTCTTTTTGTCTTTCAGGATTGAGTTTAGAGTCAAGTACTTAAGAGTATTAAAGATTGAGTGGAAATCATAAAAAGAGAATGAAAAAAATGTCAGAAAGTAAGAGAGACGACCAAGATTGTTGCGAGTGAGTAGTGGCACCCGAATCTTTTTTATAATTTGCGAAAAATAAAATATTATTCCATCTGAAAGGACAAAGACGCGAAAGAGTCTTAATTTAGAGTGCGCATTCTCCTGACAATGGCAGAGACGAGAGGGTAACAAAACGTGGTTGGAGTAATGAACTACCCGACACCTTCCCTCTCTCTCTCCTCCTCCCTGGTAAATATTATTTTTCATAATACATCCGGCCCGGTAGTGCCTCAGCAAATAACCAGCAAGACAGATATTAACACGAAAAGGCACACATCAACAACCTGAAACTAATCAATCCCGTCTGTCGCGGTCGCGCATGGGAGAAGGCTATCTGTTAAAATAACCCAGACTCCCATCGCCAGTTATCGATTAAATATTTTGCCTTGTTTGTTTTTCGTCTGACCTTTGGGGGGTTTACCGATTGAGTTGTTTTGCCCCAATGTATGTCGATGAACTGTGTGTGTTTTTTGTTTATTTTTTTTTTGCATTTGTAGCTTATTCTGTTTTTCTAGTAGCTGCATTAGCAGCATTGGCAGTAGTTTATTTTTCTGTGTGCTTGTGTTTGTTCGTTATTGTGGTTGCTGTTCAAGGGGGGATGTTTAGGGTTTTTTGAATGTTTGGTACGAGAGAAAGCACTCCTGATGTGGCGTTCACCAGATGTACCTCCTCTCTCTCTCCATGATCCTCCCCTCTCCTATCTCTTCCACTCCTATCTCTCTCTATCCATCTATCTATCTATCTATCTATCTTTTCTTGACCTCAAGTAGGATAAATGAAAAGCTCCAACCCAAAATTCTTAATACCACAGCTATGCAACAGAGTCCCACCCGTCGCACGAACAAAA